AGTTCCTAAAAGGACATGTAAATCTGCGAAGAGAGATCTAGTGTCACAAGTGGCATAAATACCCTAAATTTAGAAACGTGGAATTCATGAAGGCACGATCAGAAGCATGTTCAATTTTATGCCTCATATAATTCAATGTTGAGTAAAAATGAGCAAGATAAATCCATCTACGTAACCCTGGGCGTTCACCTGAAAATTTAATATAGTATTTTATGCGTTCTCCCGACTTTGACATCTATCGCTATGCTTTCTAACATGACCAAGACAATCAAATCTTAGTTGTTGGTAATCTTAGACCAATCATCAGTCTTGTTTTCGCTTTTTTTTTTGCCATTTAGCTCAAAAATAAATTTCAATGAATACTAGTTATTTTATATTTGGGATTGTGGATACAAAATCAAATCTAAAGAGTTGAAAACCATTATCAAGGAAAACCCTTCTGCACCACTGCCATTATGGGAATCAAGTTTAGAATTTAAATATGTTGAACTAAGAGTGGAAATTGAAGGTTGGTACTGCATTGTGGAATATATTACTCTCTTATAAATGGTTGAACATGGGTGTATGTTGTTTAACAAGGCCAACACGATTGAACAACTTTAATTGAAAGCTAGTTCAAATTAGTAATCAAGAGTGAGTGTGTTATTTGACAGCATATGACACAAATGCTCCACCTTCATAACATTTAAGACCATCTACGGAACCTAGAGCTCAATTCAATCTTGCCCATCGACATCATTTCAGTCCATTGTACTTGAAACAATGACATAGATCAATTGATGCTCGATTTTAATGGGGAAGTAGCTCTTCCGATTTTGGACATGGGAAAAATGGCTAGTAAAGGGCAGGGGCAGGATAGGGCTGATTGGTGTACTCCAATCCCACTTTGAAATTCATGCTTCTTACAAAAGGTTTTTTACACATTCATCAAATTATCATAATTTTTTTTTTACTTTTATTATGTTCTTAGGACTGTATTAAAATTCTTTTCATGGTTAAATATGTTTGATGGTCAATTAAGATTTTATACTCAATAAACCCTTCAATTTTTCATGTGTGAGCCATGAGAAAGGATTCATATATCTGATTTAAATGACGAAATCATCTTAGATATACCATACAAAGGAAATAACATCTCATTTATTAGGCACATTTTCAAGATTATGCAATCATATACTACAGCAATGCCATAGGTACGTGCCAAGAACAAAAAAAATCCAGTTTGATTCCTGAATACATTGTAGATTACTTAACAAGGAAATTAACTAGCACATTTTCAAGCTCTTCTGCAAAAGAAAAAATAAATCAATAGAGCATTATTACCCATCTAGTAAATACTTTGTACCAGCCATAAACAATGGAATTATAGTTGCAAAGTTTGAATACTAAAGATTTTGAACTTAGTTCAAATGTACAGGAAATCAATGGTGTAACAACATCATTAATGCTTCTCCAATGTCTTATTACTGCCATTCTTTATATGAGTGAAATATTTTCATAAAACATATTTTAATTTCATAATAAACAGAAAAAATGGAGTGCATAGTAGAATATGAGAGGAATGTCTTAACATCTTCAAAATGTGTTTTTTTTTCAAACAATGTAACACATAGGCATAAACTCAACATCACAACAACGACAAATTTTAACATTATCATTTTTGAGGGATAATTTAGAAGGGTTAGTTCCATAAACCTCATTCTGTTTAGTATTTTTATATGCATGTATAAAGCTCTGGCCATTCATTAGTTCCATATCCTATTTATCCTCCCCAAGATTGATTAGCATGAATGCAATATTTGAGGTTCAGATGAGGAATCATAAGGCATTTGGAGAAGTGATTAGGCTTCAGAACAGAAAACATCCCTACTACACATCTCCTATCCATGATCAATCCTTCTAGAACAAATGAGTTGTCACTAATGAAGCTTTAATGATGATGAACATCTCATGTACCCAAAAATGACATGAGAAGCTATCATCTAGGTTGATTAAAGGCTCGATGAATTGAAATTCAGATGTATAATGAAAACATGAATGAATAACGAATTGAGTATACAAACAAGTCCTAATAAATTACTAATCCATGCAAGAATATTTCTGTGAGATATGCATGACATTCACGGAAATACAGATTTTTGCTAAGAATTAATGTGGTTGTATGTGTATAAATTTGTATGGGAGGTAAGAGTATTGTCTAAATTTATATGCTTGTAGTAAGTAAGCACTAACTAAATTATAACGGGGTTAATCATTGCTGGCCAGGTAATGGCTATGGTGAAGACTTGTAGTAGGTCAATAGAATGATAAAAATATTTCAGGGTGAAATATGGCCGCTCGCTCTGTTGAGACAATAATGGAATTCAGATAAATGATTATGGTCGACATCAACCAAAATTATTCACGTATAATAAATCCTCCAAGATGATCTATATATCATGACACTAGAACTTTTGCCCAAGAATCTGGAAACAAGAGGCTAAAGGTTGGAGTGCACGGACAGACTTCAAGACAAAGGAAAGTCTACTCTATCGGTACGGGGACCAGCCCTTTACGTGATGAAGGAACCTAATAATGAAGAAGACCTACAATTTTGACTGGAGATGGTTGTTGTCAGCAAGTGCAACTTCTCGAACATAGACGTCGAATTTTCTATAAATTTGACTTAGATAATGTTCATGTATTCGTGGACAACTATAAAGTTATGCACGACAACTAAATTAAAGTTCTAAGGAAAGATAAAATCATGGAAGTGTCTTTACGGGTCTATTTCTGTTGACTAATCTATATTTCGCAAAGATTTTACGTTCGTTCACCCCGCTATCCCGGCCCATCCATATATGTATCCTTGTTCATACCTCGCACAAGTGAACGAGCGAAAATAGACGGCGCCAAAGCATAGAACTTAATCCATCTTGATTCTCGTTGAACGCGTCGACCCTCGTGACAAGAAGCATGCATTGTTGTGCCATCGCAAGACGAACTTGTTGCACTGAACGTATTTCCGGTTGTGATCCAGGCCGAGAAGAGGGAGGGTTGCCTGGAGAGCGAGCGAGAGAAGAGGGGGTAGCCCCCACACGCAAGCTGTCGGATCCTCGACCTCGTCCGATTGGAGTGGTGGAGGAAGGAGGCGGTACGACGTTATGATCACGCGGCACTGACCTCATCGTCAGACTTACCAGACAACCACACTCTTGCCTCCGTCCCTTTCTCTACCGGCTGTGTGTGGTGGTGGGGGTGCGGGTGGCGGTGGTGGTGGTGGCATTATTCATATCTTTGAAGACTGTAGGAAAGGGAGCATTGTTTATGGGAACCCCCATGGTGGTCAGCATTTTACACACCCTCTAACTTGGCTTCTCGTTCTTAGACCTTCGCTATCCTCCACTAATTTGTTGTGTCCTCCCATGAAGATATAAACGAGCGAGCGAGCGAGAGAGAGAGAGAGAGAGAGAGAGAGAGAGAGAGAGAGAGAGAGAGAGAGAGAGAGAGAGAGAGAGAGAGAGAGAGAGAGAGAGTTTCTAAGTAAAGGGTGGGAAATAAGGTATTGCAGGAATGGGGACCAGGCAGTACAAGTCATGTGCTCGACCACCGAAACTCGAAGAGGGGGGGCGGGGGGGATGTCGTTCTCCTTCCCCAAATAGAAGCAAACGTAACAAGAACTCGTAGGGAACCTTCCGCCAATGACAACAGCACGGAAAGAGAGAGCGTGAAGTGGCAAACAAGCGCTACTGAAGGGCCAAGAAATGACACGAACCATTCGACTTAAACGGAGGTAGGGCTCTCCGGAGCTGGAGTTTGCAGTAGAAAGAGCGTGGATACTGTGGCGCCGTCAACGAAGAACAGAGTTTTAGGAGAGAAGGGGTGTAGAGATCGATAGATAGCGAGCGCGCGCGCGCGCGAGAGAGAGAGAGAGAGAGAGAGAGGGGGAGGGGGAAGGAGAGGAGAAGAGTGAGTTCCAAGGCAAATGATTAGGCGCTGTCTTCGGGGGAAGAGAAGTGGAGCGAGCGTGGAATTAGAAAGCAAAGCCGAACGTGGGGCATGACCGAGGAGGGGGGACCTTTTCCACGGTCAGGCCTGGTCGGCTCTTTTCCTTTCACTCTTCTGTACTCCTCCCTTCTCATTCCATGTCCGCGAAGCAGCAGGAGCAGCAGGAGCGGCAGCAGCGTCTGCCTCAGCCCTATACCAGTAATAATACGACTTGAAGTAAAAAGTGAAGGGAAGACGAAGAAGAACACCATATAAATATAATTTGTTCCCCCTGGAGAGAGAGGGAGATTGAGTAAGAGCAAAGGGAGGAGAAATTATGTAATGTCCCGTGGCTGCTAGGGAAAATATCCATAATCCCGCGAGAAAGAGGAGCAATGTCTGCTGTCTGATTTCTTCCATGGATTAGCTAAACAGGTGCAACACAAGAGAAGACAGAAAATGGAGATTGACATTACATAGATAAACGGGTAGAGAAAGAGGGAAGTCGCCTATCTGATCAGAGTCCCCGCATATAGGGTTTGCTCACTCTGTAACAATAACCGTGGCAGTTCTTCCCGTCTCCTTTTAGTTTGATACTGGTTTTAGAGTCAGCTTTATAGTTTGTGAGTGGCAGGCAAGGTCTAAAAAGGCGCCCAAGACAAACAGCAGAAGAGAGAGGGCGAGTCCTTAAAAAGAGATCGAAAAAAGAGAAGAAAGAGACACACTCGATGTGTGAGATGAGAATGGAGGATAAAGGGGGCCCGTCCTCCTCTTCCCGGAGGAACATTCATGAAGTTCAAGAAGCCCATCGTCTCCACCACCACCAAGAAGAAGGAGAACAACAATCCCGGCAACCAACGCCGCTGCCGCCATTAGCCATGCAGTATAATCTCACCGGCGTAGGAGGCTATGGTGGGGGGGGGTGTGAAGGATTCTTCTTCCCATCGGAGCCCGCTGCTTCTGTTCTTCCATGGAGCTTCCCCCAAGCTCACCCCATCACTGCAGCCAATTTCTCCCAAGCCAACGGAATCCACATGCCCCAGGCTCCTTCTTGGGCGCCTGGCGCTCTGCAGTTTGGCTGCGACAGCGGCGTCCCGCTGTGCACGGACCCCTTGGGACTGGCGGGTCTCTATCTCGGGGGCTCAGAGGGGTTAATTCGAGGCGGCGGGATTGGGTCTGCCCTATCCGTGGGGGCAGCATCGTCGCCGTTTGCTGGGCTCGGGGCGGAATTCGGGAAGATGAACGCCCAGGAGATCATGGACGCCAAGGCGCTCGCCGCCTCCAAAAGCCACAGCGAGGCAGAACGCCGCCGGCGGGAGCGTATCAACACCCACCTCGCCAAACTGCGCAGCTTGCTCCCCAGCACCACCAAGGTGAGACCTTTACGCCTCCATCAGCCACAATTCACCGCCCACAGCATACCCATGAGGACACCAATAATGAAACCTAGTAACCTTCACATGCCAATTGAGCGTAATCGTATTCTACGAGTGGTTTGATTCGCTTAGAGTAGCATTCTATTTACTAATGATCCATCGGAGATCTTCCTCAGATGGTCCTTTCATTGGACTGAATACTGATGTGTTGGAATACTCTTGGGTCGCTCTCCTTCCTCTTTATCCCGCTGTCCCTCTCACCGCCTCCTCTCTCTCCATCTCTCTCTCGCTCCCCCTCCCTCTCTCGCTCTCTTAGAAGCTTTTTTAGAAGCTGCTGGGAAGAGGAAGGGGCGAAACAAGGGTAGAGGCTGGAGCCGGGCCGGCCACTTGACAGGATAAACCTAGTCCATTGGATGGAGGAAATGTTACCGTCGAGCTGCGGAACCTAGCTTACCGTAACTCCGGCGGCAACAAAAAGAAAAAGCTTCCATGGGAGTTTGTTTTACAGGAACAGCGTGATACGATAGGAAAGACAAACCCACATTCCTGTCAGATAGAAATAGGGAGAGTTACAGACGTAAAGAGAGATAGAAAGAGCCTAGCTTTGTCTTTGTAGCCTATCCACAGCATAAGTGCATGCGCACAACTCAATCCGATAAGGTCTACACTCTCTTCTCCTTCTTCTTCTTCTTCTTCTTCTTCTTCTTCTTCTTCTTCTTCTTCTTCTTCTTCTTCTTCTTCTTCCGCAGCTTAACCTGATACGCGTGTCTCTAGCTCTTCCATCCCTCGTACTCCTCCATCAAATCCCGTCTTCTACTCCATACTGTTCGGACGTTTCATGACTGCACTCTGATCTTATAGACTGAGTTCATTTGTTTTTTCCTATAGACCGACAAGGCCTCTCTTCTGGCGGAGGTGATTCAACACGTCAAGGAGCTGAAGCGCCAGACGACGGAGATCGCAGAGGAGAGCCCGGTGCCAACCGAGTCAGACGAGCTCACCGTGGACTCCGCGAGTGACGAGGAAGGCAGGTTCATAGTGAGGGCCTCGCTGTGCTGTGAGGACCGGTCGGACCTCCTCCCCGATCTCATCAAAGCACTCAAATCTCTCAAGCTGCGGGCTCTCAAGGCTGAGATCACGACCCTCGGTGGCCGAGTCAGGAACGTGCTCGTCATTGCCTCGGAGAACGATGATGACACCGGCGACCCCGACTTTGCCTCCCGCCGCCATCAGTCCATCGCGACGGTACACGAAGCACTCAAGGCTGTTATGGAGCGGACGTCTACCTCTGAGGAACCCTCGAGCGCCACCGCCGGTGGCGGAAGCGGCGGTGGCGTGAAGAGGCAGCGGACGACTGGTCTGTCCAGTATACTCGAACACACGTCCATCTAAAACCACAGGAGGAAAAGAATAGAAAAATTACAACCGCTTCTATACCAAATAACCCTCTCCGTCACCATCAATCTTTTGTTCTTCTTTCTTTATCCTCTTATTTTCTTTTTAGGGTTGGGTTTCCATATATTCCTGTTGAGGGGGTGCATTAAGTATCTCCATGTGACAGAAGAGACTGAGAGAGTGTGTGTGTGTGTGTGAGATAGTTTGTGTGTCCCTGACCTCTGCTGGCGTAGGAGTCCTTGGTTTTTAACCGAGAAAGGAAGAGGATCTTTTCCGTGAGGAGAGGGGACTGGAGCACAGAAGTAACACAGGGAGGGCTCTGTTCCGGAGGCAGCGGGGTTGAGACCAGCATTCATGGCTTTCTCCTTCAAAGCTTCCCCCCCATGGAACATATAGTCTGTTTTTGTTTAGTAGTGGTCAGTGTGTGCCTGCTTTGATGTCGGGGCCAACATGCATGGCGTTGACCTTTAGGAAACCCTTGTTCTGTCTCTCAGCTCCATGGGTGTTATTTACTAGCCCTCGTGTCATGCATTCAGACAAGTTTTTGGTGTTAGTCTGAACGAAAACAACAGAAAAGCTAACTTTGGTTTTGAAGTCCTCTCTCTCTCTCTCTCTCTCTCTCTCTCTCTCGCTCTCTTTCTGAACTATTTCTAATGCACGAAAGTGAATGATTAGAATAAAAGATTAATCGAACGACACTACAAGTCTTTTGAAATAATCGAACTATATACCTTGATTAAACGAATATATAAGTTTAGCCTCTACAGTTTTGAGTGTCTGATTTGCTAAGATAAAAAGATGAGTAGTGTATTATGGAACTAGCCAAGATGAAGACCATCCTCGTGAAAGGCAAGCTAGTCTGCACCAGGAGGGGAGAACGGAGACTGCAGATGATACTGAGATATGATTCGTGGGCTGCTTTGGGCCCAGAGCTCCAGTCTCTTTCTCTCGCTGAAGGCCCACGGGTGCGCAGCCCACGGATTCCGCAAAAGAAGGGAGTAATGGAGGCCAAAGATGGGCTCTGAAAGGCAAGATGAAGGTCTCTCGCCAGTCCAGCGGCCTACCGGCGGCGCCTGAACTGTACGTGGAGACGGGGAGCTCCCGGGGGAAAAGAGATGAAGCTGGAAGCGCCTAACGATGACCGCCGAAGATAAACGTCCTTCGATCGCCTACCTTATTTTCTGAGGCTCCATGACCAGTTATTGGCCTTCGTTCAGAGAGCCTTGGGTCGAGAATTGGAGTCCAGTCAATAGGCTTCCGCTATTACTTCGCGTTGACAGGACCTCGATGTCCTTCTCTTAGTTGACGAGGAATTTCTTTTTGGCCATTCAGCGGATGTCGAGGACAAGGGAGTGGGGATGGAGTCAGCTGGGCTTTGGCATTTTTTACATGCTGATAATAGGAGTGAAACCCAGGCCCATCCTTGCCAACCTCAGCCCGATGAGATGAATCCTCCAATATTCTCGAAACCGACGTGAGCCCACAGAAAAGCCCGGTCAGTGGACAAGGCAAAGAAATAGAGAGCGAGCGAGAGAGAGAGAGAGAGAGAGAGAGAGAGATGAACTGCTGCTCGAGTAATAGACAGGATAAACCATGACTACAGAATATATCTTGCCCCGTCAACACCCTTGATAAAGAATCATTAATTATCAACTCTTGTGATACTCACAGCACTTGCTTTTATAGCCTATAAGTGAGTCCCTCTTAAAACATCCCAAAAGCTTACATTCTTTAAATACCAAAACTCAATGTTTAGTATGCTTCGATGAACAATAATATTGATACGTCACTCTAGAAATGTGAGATATTGATTGAACTGGGCAAGGATTCTGCGGTTGAGAGGGAGCCGATGTGCTCTGTCAAATTCATTTCATGCTTTTGATTTCGTACAAGCGTTCATTAGTTAAGAAATGGTTATGGAGGTTGACACGGAATCTCTTTAGTTGAGATAGTGGATTGGAGCTATCTTTTGTAAAGTTAGAACCTATGATGTGCCAAGTAAGCCCCGGCCTACTTTATGGTTTGGGTCTCAAACGCAAACCTAGAAAGGTCGATCTAGTCCCTATTCCGTCTGGGTTCAGGCTATTATTCCATTCATATTCATCCCAAGAGTCCGAAGTCCGATTTTGTTGCCTCTTGGTTACCTACGTAGCTCTCTCTCTCTCTCTCTCTCTCTCTCTCTCTCTCCCTCCCTCCCTCCCTCGCTCCCTCTCCATCTCTCTCTTATTCGTCCATCCAATGGACTGGAAATGGGCTTCTAAAGACTAGATCTGAGTACTTGCCCGATCACCAACCGAGCTTGTTAGAGACACCCAGGCTCAAGCGAATATTGGTGGCATCAGGCCTTACTTGTTGATACGCTTATGTTCTAGATTTACCTGTATGAGATCAACGTAGTATCAAGATGATATTTAAAAATTAAAGGAGATACACGACGAACTTTGCACCCAACAAAGCATATGGAGGCATTTCAACCATTAGGAGCAGATGATTCCTCCAGAAATGTTATCATTTTTTTTCCATTTTACAAATCATTTGGTGTTTTATACCATGGTGCAACATTCACACGAGAAAAAATGATCTCGGGGAAACCATTTTGATCATATCTATTTTGAATAACTTGGGTTTGATCCTCGTCAATAAAGGTTATTGGCTGGCATGATAAGACCTTTAAGTTCCTTATCAACCTTGAATAATTGAGGAAATAATTTGATGATTATCAATTAGGACATCACCAGGTCCAATTTGATGATACTAGCTCTATGTACCCAATTTATGCGACCATGAGTCAAATAGTCAAATTCAAAGGAAAAGAAATCTACATTTATTGTTCTTCTGCTATAGAAAACATGTCAAACAACTTGTCCCTCTCACGTGGGACAATAAAGGAAGAAAGAGGAGGTACATAGGTCATTTCACTCTAAATTTGTGCATGATTATCTAACTCTATTTCATGAGGGAAACAACTTTCTTAGTAGACGGTTAGCTTTAGCATCCCTAATTTTTATAGCAATTTAGCGTCAATTCACTTCACTCGTCAAGGGGTTCTCACCTTAGCTATCATTGAATTTCATGGCATCAGGTCACCTGATCTTTCTAAGTTTATGGCCTCCTAACATTACATAATTATACATGTCCATGATTATAAAATAAATCTGCAAGATAAAAAAATTTATAGAGACAAAATAAAATAAGCATGCAAAGAATATGAAGTTGAGAAGTTCCTTGTTAAACTTTCCACATCCTTAGTGGAGAGAGAGCGATAGAGAGAGAGAGAGAGAGAGAGAGAGAGAGAGAGAGAGAGAGAGGGAGGGAGTTTTTATGTGATCAATTCTAGCAATGATTTTTGGTCAAGCCATTATAATGTTTAAAACCATTTAACAAGTTTATTTTAGGGGGTTGAAATTATCTAGTTTTTTCTATGGCTCTCATGATGGGAATATTAGGTTATCAACTATTAGTTTATAGTAAAATAGATATTTCATCCTTTCTGCAAAATGATTTCTGATGCTGAGAACTTGTCTTGAAAAAAAATTCTATTCCAAGAGAATAAATCCTAATTTCATTGTAAACACATAGGGATCACTTCCAAATGCTTTGTTTTTCAATCATGATTAACAAGTTCAGTTTTAGTCAATTTTTATAGTATATATTTCAGAATAACAATAATATGAATTTCTATTTTATTAGCATCAACATATTATTTACTTAGATGTCTTCACCTCCTCCCCATGTTAGCTTAATTTACTCACACATGAACACACATAATTTAACACTACTCAATATCAGAAGAGTTCTTCCACACAAGCTTATTAAGAAAAATATATCAACTTTTCCTTTAACCCAAAATATTGATACTACTCAATCTTATTGCAAAAATCCATCTATGATTTTTGTTACTATGAACCAAATTATTATAGATAAGCACCATGCAATGTTTCAAATGTGAAAGATTATGCAACAAAAAATTATTTTTTACCTTTAAACTCCCTTATTAGTGCAAGTAGACCAAATAATGTGGTCAAGTACAAGCCTATGTTGAGTTTAAGGCCACACTTAGAGCAACAAGGAGGGATGTGATTGAATTGATTGGCCTCTAGGGGTTGATTTCAAATTTCTCTTTGACAGAATTAATCTTTCCTTCAAAATTTTAATTACTCTAGTTTTCATAGATCAATAATAAAGTTAATAGATTTTTAAAATGTCTTGGCTTACTAATTATGTATACTCTCTAAAAAATAGATTATTCTTGGGTTCCACTATGATTGATTACCTGATCATAACCATTGATTGTTGGGCTCAAATCTCCTAGAATATCTCCTAAAACATTTATTCTAGATTCCCTACTCTAGGTCTCCAACAACTAACTAATGAGTTCAGCCCCCTCATAGAATTAAATAAAATTTTAATCAAAATTTTATCCTAAAATAAATTTGAAAGGTTTTATTGTAGGTTGCTTTTTCAAAGATACTAACTTGGAGTGCATATGAATTTTTGATGCAGAAGATGAGGTTTAAGAATTGATTTTTTTTATCCTCTTCTTGTCAAGACATTATCTAATGAGGAAAAGCTCTATAGTCTCAAAAAGGTCAAAGGAAATATATGATATTTCAATAATACTCCTCAACCCAATGACTTTACATAGTTTGACTTACTAGTAAACATCTCACAATTTCTCACTTGATTTCCCATGAAAGAACTTAGCAAAACGTTTGAGGTTTTAGAAGAGATAAGGATGATCATTCTGAACTAGTTAGCCATTGAAATGATCTCATATTTATAGATAAATCATGTATGAAAATTTTCTCATTTTTTGTGATTTCTAAATATCTATTTTTTCTAAAATACATATGAATTAAAATGATTTAGAAACCAATATGATATATGTCTTGTAAGGGGTTAGATATCCTCATGAGAAATTAATATGTGGTTTCATTAAAGCATAAAATCTATATCCTAAGTATTTAGATTCAATCAAGTTTTAAAAGGATCTTATATCATTAAAATATAACCAATAAAATATGTCTAGATATAATGGTGATTTAACCATCTAAACTTGTCTAAATCACCTCAAATATAATATGATGGTGAAGTATATGTTGAATAATGATTTCAATGCTTAGAAATATAGCTTCAATGATTCATAATATTAAAATTATTTTCTAAATTATATCATTCCACATTCAGATATATATGGATGTTGGCAAACACATTAAGTAAACTTACACTAACAAAGGAACACATACACCAATTATACAAATCACACCATAACATAAAAGAGAAAAGGACATGCATAGGCTACCCAATCGTGCTTAGATTCACTTGGCTTAGAGACCTTAGGGATGGTAGATCCTCAAACACCTTTGCTAGTAGAAAAAATTTACTGCCACCATTAAGAACAATATTCAAAAAACCTAGACATCAAGATGAGCAGTCTAAATTCAATTGATTAATTCAATACTAAAATATTTTGAAACTAAAGATGTAATATCATGAGTACATGATAGAACAAGTAAGCCTTCATATCATTTTTTTAATTAAATCTTGCTGACTTCAGTGCCTTAATCACAAATTTTTTTATTGTAGTAGTTTTTGTAAATATGAGTAATTTTTAGATAAAATAATAATTTCTTATGATGAAATTAATCAATTAAGTAAGTTCAACATTATGAGTTATGAACATAATAAGTTCTCATTTGTACAATTAAAAATATTATTTGATTTATATATGAACACTTTCATGTTTAGTGTAATATCAGACATATTTAGAATTATAAATTATTATTTTTTAATTGATCTTATATATATATTTATCATCATCAAAACTATGTATTTAATACTCCAACCTACTCCATTCATTGTAAATATATCTTGAGTTTAATACTATTGTCATCTCAACATGATTTCAATAATAAGTAATGCTCTTGAGTTGTGAGACTGTTATTATTGATTGTAAGATTAATGTAAAAAGGAATTTCACTTGCTCATGATGGCATTTCTTAAATAGTATCATAATGAAACAAATCAATACCACAATAAGATTAGCTCTATAGGCCCCCATTCTTATTATTATTCTAGTTTGAGTCTATGGTTTATTGGATTAACAGTTAGTACACATCCAAAGGCACATATGAAGGTATATTCAATCGCAAATAGTCATATCTATGAAGTAGACTTTTTTTATTTTTTAAATTACTCATTTGGTGGAGCATGATTATTTTAACCATGTGTGGCTTGAAGGTTAAATCTTGCCAAAAAAAGTTATTGTAGGCTGTGACTTGGGTTCAATGCTTGAGAGTACAAATATGTTTGAATCACTCTTAAATTAACACACAAACACATGATTTCAAATTTATAAGATGTGGGATATAGCATAGATAAGTGAAATTAACAACTTTGAGTCTAAGTTATTGAGGTTCCTTTAATGATTGAAGGGCAAGTTAACCAATTATATTTATCTAAATAATAGTTTTTTATAGTCAATGCTTACGTAAACAGTTAATGAAACTAGGTTGAATGGGAATACTATAAGATCACCTTTGGATAATTCTTTTGGATATTTTTCTGATCACATTGAGAGAACTTCCTTTTAAATTCATGCTAATACATCATTTTTTAAAAGATAAATCAAAGGATATATTTTAAAAAATATTTATGAAGCTTTTCTATTTCAATATAGATAATTAAAAAAGAAATTTACTCCACTATCTTTATTTTGAATCATCATGGTTTCCTAAAAGGCCTAAGATAATATACTGGTTACAAATAGGTGCCTCTATTTCTTTATACAACCTTTGTTTCCATAAAGACAGTAAATTTAATAATAATTACTAAATTAATTATTTTATTTAAAATAATATAAATGTTTCACAGGTGTATTCATTGAATTATAATTTTAATTCCTTTAAAACAAAAAAAACCAAAGCGTTTTTGTTGACTGCAAATTTCAGATCGAGTTACAATTAAAAAGGATATCAGGGTTCATTCGTAAGAGACCAATTATGTATGCCTGAGGAGAAGCGAGCTCAGAACTCAAGTGGGCCCACGAAACGGACGGTATGATGTTGAAGCCAAAGAGGCCATCTTCTGATCGTCGTCCGATCGGGCCTACTCGACCAGTGAAGAGGGAAGCCTGTCGTTTGTGGAAGTGGACAAGCCGCACCGAAGTGGGAGAAGCTGGACCGTGGTGGTCCACGTGGGCCCCACGAAAGACGACGGCATCCTCCGGTTCACGGGAGTTACAGGACAAAACAGCCCATCCCCATTCACATTTGGGACCCCTCTCTCTCTCTCTCTCTCCTCTCTTGCGCTATCTCGATTGCTGGCTGGTTGGCTCACGAGTATATAAAGTTGGCGCGGTGGCGAGATTCCGAGGGCATTCTCTTTCCGTGTCGACTTCCGACGGAGCTCTGGTTCCTGCGGTGGCCGCGGGGGACGAGGGGAGGCGAATGGCCGTGAGCGAGGGGAGAATGAGGTGGGACGTGGCGCAGTTGTGGTTGTTGTTGTGTGCCGTTCTGCTCGGTCTGTGTGCGTCCACCGTCCCCGTGGCCGCCCTCAACATTGGCATCCAGAACGCAGGTTCCGACGTCTCCGTGGTAGGTGACGTCCAATGGCGTGCTCTCCCCGTCCGGTGTGGAGGTATACTGCGAGTTTCGTCCCCTGTGATTTGTTGCTGAGATCTGGCTTGTTTGCAGAGGATGGCTCACTGCAGCAGGAAGTGCGAGTCGGAGTATTGCTTGTGTAAGTCTTCTTCTTCTTCTTCTTCTTCTTCTTCTTCTTCTCTGTATATATCCCCTCCTCGTTAGTGCTGCTAATGACATCTGGTGCGGAGGACTTTCACACCGGTTGTGCTGATTATCAATTCTTCTGATCTGCGTGCGGGACGTGGGGGACGACGAAAATGTTGGTGGCGGGGTGCACAAAACAAACGGACGAGAAATCAGTGCCGCCTTTCTTGAGGTATGGCAAGTACTGTGGTATATTGTACAGTGGCTGCCCCGGGGAGAAACCTTGCGATGGCCTCGACGCCTGCTGTCAGATCCATGACGCCTGCGTCCAGTCCAAGCACAGTTGAGTCTACGAATCCTATCTCTCTCTCTCTCTCTGTCACTCTCACTCTCTCACTCATTCACTCGGAGAGATTTTTCCTCCATTTTTTTTTGAACTCCTGACGAATAGAGACCTTTTTTTTGGGTTCCTTCGCAACCACCAACACCAAAAAAACATAAAAAAACCCTGACCAAGCGCTGTAGTCTTCTCGGAGCATCTGGTATCCGGACAGGGGCCGCCGGAAGGCATGTGACTCCGTTGCTCTGGTATGGCAGCCCTCCGATCAGTCCTCCGGTCCGTGTCCTGTCCCTGGAGCGGCTACCAAACAGTTTCCACCAATCACCCGTGAATCTTCCTTTTTCTTTTCCATGTTCGAGGTAATCACCGAATGATTCGATTCCAACACCGTTACAACACAAGTCTCATCCTCTTCCGTTAGAAAGTAACCGTAGCACCGCCGATCTTCACGTGGAGTAGAAGATTTATTCGTCAGGTTTTCTCATAAATGAGCTATTTCTATGATTTTCTCCCCTGCTGCTCCCGTCGCAGATGATTACCTGAGCCAATCGTGCAACCAGAACTTCCTCAACTGCATTCAGCGTTTCAAGAAGTCCGGGAAGCCGACGTTTAAAGGGAACAAGTGCTCAGTAGAGGAAGTGGTGGACATCATCTCCCTCGTCATCGATGCCGCCTTGCTGGCCGGCAGGGCCCTCCACAAGCCCTAGCCCCTCTCCCTCACGACCTCTCCTTCCGGAGACAGATCACCTCCAATCCATGTTCCTGTAATCTCCCCCCCTCTCCTGTGAAACTCTCAATCTATGCATTCTCCTTTCCGTTCCACACTCACCTCCCGTCACGGCCGACCAGACTGCACCAGTCGTCCTCGTCGATTCGGTCGCCACTCCATTCGCCAGCAGGAGCTCGAAGGTAGAATATCCAGATAAGGTGTGTTCTCGTGACCAGATGCCTGCCTCTTCCCCACCCGCGTCAGGCCAGACCAGGTTTGCGTCTGCGCCACCCAATCGGCCACGTAAGCATCGTCCTCCTGCGGCTCGTACTCGCCGCCCGCCATCGCGCAGCTGTAAAGGGTCGAGTCAAGTTAGGGATTCGAGCTAACGGGCGACCCCTTCCTTTCCATCCGTGACTGGTGACCGACTTCTCCACGATCGCAAATAATTAAAAAAGGAGGAAAATATCATTATATTAAATAATTTTTAACATTCCAATACATCAAATAAATTTATTCTTTCTGAATCACCAAAACACACCTTTGTACTTATTTAGATGCCCCTCTGGGCTGTGCTGCAGGAACCTAATGGGTCTTATCACGCAAAAAAAATTCAATGGAGGCTGTTTCCAAAATTCCTAGACCCTACTTTTCCCATGAATTCTCCGATAAAAAAATTCCACTTGGAAATCTACCATCTAATTTATTTGCTTTTATACCCATGATTCACCTTACAAACTATAGAGCACTTGGGCAGAGTTTCGGGTTATTAATTAATCATTGTGAAAGATATATTCTCGGAATTTTTATTTTAATTGAAGTAGGTTGGTATTACCGACGTGAATGATGTCCTTTCAATCAAATGACGTCATCACTTGTCCCTACCGAGGTTAGTGGGCCGAGAAGCGATGGGGAAGGGCCCAACGTCCACATCAGCTCCACCAGGTCCACCTAGAAGTGGGCCAAGTAACCGACGGTTACATTTTGGGCCTCGCTCTCGTTACGACGGCGGTGAAACGAACCGCAGATATTCTCTCTCGCCGCCTTAACCTCCTTCCTCCCTTCTGTGTTATCCTCCTGGCCGTCGTCTCTTCCCAGCAGAGGAATTCCTGCTCTTTGTGCTCGAAGGGGGAGAGGGGGGGGGGGGAGGGAGAGGATAAGCCGCCCGCAATGGCGTCCACCGCGGCCAACTTGTGGGTCCTTGTCGGCTTGAGCGTGGCAGGAATCCTCCTCGTCGCGCGGCGGTTCAAGAGGGTCGTCAAGGCTGATTTCGGTGCCTTCATCGAGCGGTTCGAGCTACTGCCTCCCCCTCCACCGGCACCGCCCAAGGCCCCCCACCCTCTCGCGTGCCTCTCCTTCGCCGTTGCCGACCTGTGAGTGTTCGATCCCCGGGGAAATTCCTCACTCTTCTGCACATCTGTTTATTACTTTGATTCCTTCACCTTGTTCTTGGAGTTTCTGTCCCCGCGCTGCATTTTTCCGTGATCGGTGTGTGTGGGAAATACTTCAACTATCCACTTTGACGTGTAAATATTAGTCATAGGTTGCGTTGTCTTCTCCGTGGAAGTTGTAGGCTCGATTGTTCTGGTTTTTTCTGTCTCTAGCGTTGGGAAGCGGAGTTAATGACGGACGCGTGGTGAACACTATGTTGAGAGGGTGCCTGTGCTGAGGTTCTATGATGGCATCGAATAAACATCATTGACTGCCTCAATCTAGAAAAGTGGGACGATAGCACGAATTGGTCTTCGCAACATTATTGCTATCTTCAAAATTAATTTTCAGAAGTTTACCAGTTTAAAGAGGACACTGTTTATATGACTACGATATCTGCTATGGGTTTTGGATGCATGTTTTTTTGGATGTCGAGCTCAGTCTGAACTGGTGCTGGTGAGCTCTGGCACTACGTCACGAGGGAATCATTTTAACTTTGGGTTAGTTTGATAACCTGTCTACTTTAAATGATGCTTATGACTTTCTCAGTAGTATGTCCTTTAAAAATGGTTCATGTATGGACGTTTTCTATTACAACTCACAATCTAAAGTGGAGGTTGTATGTTTGAGCCAGTCCAGGGTAGGAACGGTGAGGCATAGTTCGCAGTTACTGCGCGATTTGTCAGGTTTATTAGCTACAAGTGGAGCTGTCTTTCGTGTTCAGTGATAAAACTTGTCTACATTTAGTTGCCCATGGATTTTCTGGAAGCGTGCTTATTTGAAGGTTATCTTTGTGGTTAAACCTTCATATTATTTCCATCTTCAGTCATTTCCTTCCCTTCTTTCTTCTTTTACAGTAGAAATATCATCGAAAAACCAAAATCAATCAAAAATCATTGCGGAATTCACCTGTATTCGACAGCATGATACTGGCCTTTTTAGCTCCGAGATTCTAGAGAAAAACATTGCAAGGTTTCTTCCCCAGTTGCCAACTCTCAAGCCACGATTGCATCATATGTGCTGGTCCTTGTTTTTTGTTGATTAATTGAGACTCTGTCCCCCTTTCCTGGAAACTTGACATGGATTGCTTATTAATGATTCCAATTGGCATATCAGGTGTTGTTGCGCAGGTTTTCAGAAAGGAATTAACCGACTTGTTTACTATTTCATGTTTTCTGTTTCTAACTTGTGTGCGATGGATCTCGAATGAGTTGACCGGATTTCTTGCATTGGGAACTGTTCCTTAACACACACTAACTGTGATTGCTCCAAAGTTACTCTGTATTTGTACTGGGGACTCTTTGATGATGCTATGTTTGTCTATCCACAGGGTGGTGGAAAATCTATGGTGTTTCTTTTTGTGACTATATGTAATCTCTTCGTTGCTTGCAAAAAGTTCTGGCATGTTCTTTTTTCCTCAATGTTAGATGGCTGCTTTTGTTACATCTTTTATGGACAAGTTAACAATGACAGTCACTCCCGAAGGCCTTTCACATTAGTCCAGATTGTTGACTTTGAAATTTTTATTATTACAGAAACTTAAAATGTGTACTTCCTTTTTTAAATACTGAGTTTGGGTTATGAATTGAATATCGTTGCTTACAATGTTTCCAGATTTGATATCAAAGGATATATAACTGGCTTTGGAATTCCTGAATGGTCAAAGACGCATGAGCCTGCAGATTGGTCATCTCCGGCAGTTTCGATTCTCATAAATGGTGGCGCCACATGTGTTGGCAAAACGGTTATTGATGAATTGGGTTATAGGTGAACTTTCTTCAACAAAGACACACATGCATATATATGTATATATAACTGAATAATATGCCTTTAACTCAAGTTTGATTTGTATGGTAACTATAGCTTCTAATTCAGTGTCTAAAAAAACGATCCTTCTTTTTCTTTCATCTGCTGATGTACATCATGTTTACTGGCACTATCTATTACTTACCTCTTTTTTAACTTCCATAAATTTTATTTTCAGTATAAATGGTGAAAACAAACATTTTGGTGCACCTGCTAATCCTGTAGCACTGGATCGCATTCCTGGGGGCTCCTCTAGTGGATCTGCTGTGGCTGTTTCTGCAGGCTTTGTAGAATTCTCCTTGGGTAAGCTATTCTTGCTATTTGCACTCAAGATTTTGAAGGCCACGAGGACAGTTTTTATTTTTCGCGTATCATGAGTCATCAGTTAATTGTTTTCCAATAAACTCAAATGGTTAATTGAATTGCCATTTCTTGTGAGATCTAAGAAGCATCTGATACACAGAGATTATAGAAGTTTTCTCAGAAGGTTGATTGGAGTTCCATTTCTATAGTCAGATTCTCTCCCTCCTGGATGAAGAGTAAATTAGTGGGTGTTGGATGCTTTCTATTATGTTTTCTGTATTGATCTGTAGGAAGGTGCACATTTGCTGCCATTTCTCACCCCACTTTCCGTGGTTTGAGGGTGATTGCTAATGCAGAACGATATTACTCTAAAAGAATCGCATTTAAAGGATTAATGCCTGCTGCTAATGCTTATAGTTTTATTCTCATGTCCATGGCCGGCATTGCCTCAATCTTACTGCGATGGGTATCTAACTGTGAGAGATTGGCTTGGAAGATAGGTATTATGTTGGAAATGGGCCTCTCAGTTTGGTTAAGAAGAAATATGTCTCTTATTTATACCCTTTCAACGGACCTTGGTTGAGAATTTGATTGGAGATAGCAATATAGTTGATATGTAACTGGTTTAGCGGATCATGTAATGTCCCTTTTCCGATAGAAGAGGTCCATCTAGTGATTGAACTTTTAAAGGTCTTTGGCCGGAGGAATGGTAGAATAGTATTATTGGCGGTGGACATGGTCTGCCAAAGCACGCCTTGAATGCCACCATTGCTGATTAAACATGGCTTGATAGAGAAGATGCCTTTCACCTCGTTGCAGTTCCTGCTGATGGTGCTGCCACGGTGTACCTATTGTATGAGTAAATGAGCTTAGTTACTGATCTGCATGTCAAATATACGTTCATGGGGCCTCCTGAGTGTGAAAAAAATTCAAGCCATTAAACCGAAACCAATTGGAAATGAGCTGCGTAGGCCCATATGTTTAAGCATTTGTGATTGACATTAAATTTTCTGTGTAAAATGATTTGAGGATGTCTCGTCACCTGACATATTTAACTTCTACCTTTTGACGTGAGACTTCTAGCAACAAGTGCAGTGCTTTCTTTTCTCTTTTACTAATGTCTTTTGGGTGCATCAATATTCTGGATGATGAAGGATGAGGACAACTCCGTGGAAGAGAAGAAACTGATGGGGGAGTTGGCTGAAGAACATGAGGAAATTATGCAGTTTCCTAGAAGATTTGAGGTCAAAAATGAGATCATTTTGGCCTAGCCCTAGTATTTTTGGGTCGTTTTTTCAAAACTGGAACGAAGTCTGGTCAGGATGATTTTAAGGTTTATCGAAAGGGTCAGTTGACCATGTACCTCTATTGCCAGGTGTTGATAACCTGATCTATTCTCCGTAAACTCAATGTCTTCTTCCAACTACTATTTTTCTTGACCCTAAAATGGTCAGCAGATGTTTAAATGTCCAATCAGTGCTAAAACTGGGAAATGATCAGTTCTTCCTTAAGCATAAATAGTTAACTATATAGACTACATGATCTAGTGCTTAATGCTGCATTATTATGTTGTCTCTGGGCTCCATGAAATCAGACTGCGATATTTTTTTTGATATTGATTCATAGATTGCCCGTATCCTATGTGTGCATTATTTAATCATTAATCCTCAATGTGGTTTCATTGGTCAGTTCCTAGGATTGATTATGGAAAAGTAGTGATACATGAGCACTATCACATAGAAGGAGATGAACATGCCATGATGATAAAGATACAAAGCCACAATATAAGAAAAACAAAATGAGCAGAATAAATGAGAGGACTTAGATAAATCTTGTATTATCTCAAGAAAATTTATTTGTTGTTTTTTGTCAGTGAGCTTTTATTTTATGTAATTGTCTGTCATGACTAACTGGAGTTGCTTGGTGGCACCAACAAATTGTATTTTCCAACATTTTTATAAATGTATAATAGCTGCCACTTTCACATTATTTGGAAAGTACGTTGTGTAAATTACTGAGCCAATATCATTCAAGTTCCTCAAGTGAGGATGGTTTGCTATCTCTCTGGTAGGAATCAAGGTGGAACAAGATTTACGAAACTGAAATCGCATGGAATAATGCTTCGAAATAGTTGACCTTGAAATCTCCCCAGTGTAAACGTATACTGTTGGTCAAGCGAGTTATTTATTTAGATTTACTCTATCCTGTTTGTCAAACTTTGGGCAACTCTTCCGGCGTCTCTCTCATTTCTTTCTCCCGAATTTATTTAGAATTTATGTTAGCTTAATGAGTTGGCATTCTTCAGAAGACTCTCTCACTAGAATGTCTTGTTTACCAATTATGGTTTATCTTTTATGCATTATCTGTACAATCTTGTGCAATCTGCTGACATCAATGTGATGCGTTCAGGTATTGATACCATTGGTGGTGTCAGACTTCCTGCTGCATATTGTGGTGTCCTGGGGTTCCGACCATCATTTGGGGCCATTGCTAACACTGGTGTACTTCCTGTGTCACCAAGTTTAGATAGCATAGGTACCTATTTGGTCTTCTTTATTTTATTACCATTATTGCTGAACCATCTTTTGGATATTTCATCATATTGTTGCTTTATTTGATGCTACGATATTATGCCTACAGGAAATGCTTCTTTTTCATCCATGAATGGATTTTGTGGAAAATTAAAATTTGAGAGACAGTGAAGTCACTGTAAGATTACTGCCTTTAGATAATGTAGGAAACCCTGGATGCTTTACTGTGTTTCAAGTGAAATATATATGATCTTTTTTGGGGGGCATATAGTTGGCTGGTTGAACGGAGTGTGCATATAGCTTTTGATTCTTCTAGTGTACTCGAGAAATAAATCATCTTCGTGATACCAATGTCTGATTGGAGGGTAGAAGTTCGTGTACTACTTGCTGGAGGTACTGATCACAGGTAACTGGTCTTTGAAGTCCTCTTGGTATTATGCATTATGCTCATAATCGTGTTTAAAAGGCTGGATTAACAATCCAAGAAAAACGAGGCAAGTTTTGCAGGAATAGACAAGAGAATGCATTGATATGTGGTAAAAAGTTACTTTCGTTTATGTTGGTGGAATGTTCTCTCTCTATCAAATATCAGGATTCTTGCATGATGACCATTTGGGGCACATATGTAATGTTTCAAAGAAAAGCACAATGTTTATTTAGCTGAAAGTATTTCTTTAAGGTCGAGGATTTTTTCATTTGGAATATTCACATGAATATATATATTTCGTATACTCTTCTAGTCCACTCTTCAAATATAATGGGTTTCTCTACCATGCTGCCCACTTACCACAATCTGCATTTTAGAAGGTTTTCTTACACTTTGTTCGTGTTATGTTACGAACCACCCGAGATTTGGGCGAATGTATGCCCTAATCCTACCTTAGACGTGGCTCCACTCATGGAATCAATTCTTCTCTTGTATTGAAGAACCAAGTAGAAGAATTAACAGTGAAGAATGGAAAGAAAGTAGAGGCTCGCAGAAACTAGGATGAGTTCTTGAGGTCATATCAATCCTCAAGAACAAGAGAGCCCAAATATGGACCTCCCCAGGGATAGATCTCCCACTCTACTCCTATGTTTTTCTTCCTCCCTTTTTATTTTGGGCCTCTTCTATATTTATAGGCCCTAGTACATTATTCTATGGTGGTCCCCCCTCAACATGGGGGTCTAGGTCATCTTGTGTAGACGACGGTTGACTTCATTACATTACTTCCCCCCATAAATTTCACCCTATCCACAAAGTGAGATGTAGTGAATTGTTGAAGGAATGTTGATAATGTCATCCATGACGATTCAAACTGTAGAAGATGTTTTTATGAAACTAATATCTCTGCGTCTTGAGGAGTCAACTTGTGATCTTTTATTCCATCTGGTATTATTATCTATTCTTGATCTTCTGATAGTGTCAAGGGAATTGATTGGCTTCTGTTGTCTATTCTAAGTGTCTTTTTAAGTTGGGATATATGGAACATCGGGTGAATAGTTGAATGGTCTGGCAATTGGAGTTTATATGTCACTGGTCTAATTCTTTCCAGAATAGAATATGGACAAAAATAGTGAGGATTTAACTTCTCATTTTTCTTTTTCGCTGAAGATCTCATCTGGTATGGTTTGATCTCGAGGAAAAAAAAAAACCAAATCACCCACCTCTAATTCAACTTCTCTACGATGCTTATCTGTATTAAACTTCATCCTCACATGTGCTTTGTGTAAGTTGAATTTCATAATCTTGAGGATAACATCTCGTTTTGAGGGCAGTTGATTGATAGCATCAAGGGGTGAATGAGATGTCCCATATTTAATAAGTTTTAGAGGTCTCTATCATATATTACTTGAAAAAGAGTCATTTTAATAGAAGAATGATAAAAAGTATTATAACTATATTCTATCTAATGAAGTCATAATTTTCACTATTTTTGTTTATCAAATACCACACTTCTCAAATAATTTTCTAAGCATCTGTTGACTACTTCAATTTGTCTATCTGTTTGAAGGTGGTAAGAAGAGCTGAATTTGAATTCAGTCCTTTATAATGTGTGTAGCTCATGCCAAAATACACTTAAGAATAATTGTCTCTTATTAGAGACCACTGTCTTTGGAAACCCATGAAGCCTTACAATTTCCTTGATGAATATTTGAGTGACCTCCTTGACTGAGAATGGATGATGCAGGGCAATAAAATGACTATACTTGTTTAATCTATCCACTACTACTAATATTACATTCGACTCATATGATTTGGGCAAGCCTTTAATGAAATTCATTGAGAGGTTTTCCCATATTTAGGTAGGTGTAGGTAATAGTTGCAGAAGTCCAACTGGCAATAATGAAGAAGATTTACACTACAAAAAAGTAGGACAATTGTTGATATATGCCTTTATATCTCTCTTCATTCCTTGCCAATAGAATTGTTGTGAAATTTTATAGTATGTCTTTTGGAACCTAGAATGACCCCCCACTAGGCTGTCATGAAATAATTGTAACACTTTGTTAATTAAAAGAGAATGTGTTGGAAGAACCAAACTTTCTTTTTATAGCAAGGATCCATCCTTCAAAAAATATAATTCATTTGATGTATCTCCCTTAGACAAAGAGGTTTTAATCTTTTTAAGCCTAGTGTCTTGGTCTATTGTTAGTCAGACAACTTCGAGATCAATGGAGTGATGTGCTATTACCTCATTTAGTTCAACTTGTAGTAGTAATGAACATCAAAATAATGCATCTATGGCCTTATTGTTATTCCCTTCCTTATATTTAATTTCAAAACTATAGCCCATCAATTTCACTTATCATTTATGATATTCAACATAGATTTCCTTCTGTTCAAGTACGAATTTAAGATTGTACTAGTTTGTTTTAATAATAAAATGTTGACACATAAGATAATGTCTCTATTTCCTTGCTGCCAACATTATGACCAACTCTCGCTCATAGGCCAATTTCAATTTGGCTCTCACTAGAAATGCGTGACTAAAATAAGCTATTGGGTGCTTTTGCTACATGAGAATGGCCTCAACACCTGATTTAGAAGTGTGAATTTCCACAATAAATTCTTGTAAAAAGTTTGGTAGTGCTAATACCGAGGCCATAGTCATTGCTTGTTTAAGGGTAGAGAAGATGGCTTGTGCTTCTTTTGACCAATAGAATGCATCTTTTCTTAATAATTGCATCAGTGGCCACGCAATTGAAGCATAGTTGGTAATAAATCTTCTATAATATCCAGTGAGCCCTAGGAACCTATGAAGTTCCTTAAGATTTATAGGAATCGGCCAATTAGTCATGGTAGATATCTTCTCCTTATCGACTTCTACTCCTTCCGCTAACACTCAATGGCCCAAATGCTTTGGTTTGCTTTCTCCAAATCTACATTTCTTGACATTAATATGAAGAGAATTTTTAGAGAGAATAGTAAATATCTTTCTCATATGATGTAGATGTTCAGCAATTGTGACATTGTACACAAGTATATCATCAAAGAAAACTAGTACGAACTACCTCAATTGATGTTGAAATATTTAGTTCATAAGTGATTGAAAGGTTGTTGTTGCATTTGACAATCTGAAAGACATGACTTTAAATTCATAATGGTTGTGATGAGTCTTGAATGCTGTCTTAGGTACATTTTTCCTTTTCATTCTGATCTAATAATATCATGATTTTAAATCCAGTTTTGGAAAAACTGATTTCCCATGTTGTTCATCTAATCGCTCATCTACTACTAGAAAGGGGTATCTGTCAGGAACAATAGCTCAGTTCAATGCTCAATAATCTATACAAAACCTCCATTTACCATCTTTTTTCTTGACTAACAATGCAGGGCTCACATAAAGACTATGTGAAGGTTGTATGACCTCTGTTGATATGAGTTCTTGGATTAGTGTCTCAATCTTGTATTCTCGATGATAGATGAATGTCATGGTCAATAAGGCGCTTGGATGGCATTTTTGTCAGTGCTTCGAAAACGTTAGGAAATTCTTATTTTAGGCTGATTTCTAGATCACTGGGTGCATTAGTGTCCCTATTTGAGTTAATAGGATGCAATTCAACCATATATGTATTGTTGCTCTTAAGTTACTTCCTTACTTTTCTTGGTAATGTACTAATTTTTGTAATACTAGGTCCCCCTTTGAAGATGTGAATTTTTCCTCCCATCATGAATCTCATTATGAACTTCTTATAGTTGGTTAGGATCCACCTTAAAGTTCTCAACCATTGTATGCCTAAAATCACATATGTGCCACTCAATTCTAGTGGCAAGAAATCTTGTATTATTAAAACACCTTGTGCATGGAGAGGAATAGCCTTGCAAATTGCTGCTCCTACCATTGTGTTGCCATTGCCCATAATTATACTATAGTCGTTTAACTTCTCCATTTGTAAGGATAAGTTGTCAATTATTTTAGTGCACAATCAATTGTGAGTTGCCCCACTATCAATGAGTACAAACACTTCGGTATCATGAATTTTGCCCCATAGTTTCGTAGTCCCTTGCTGAGTAATTCCCATCACTGAATTTAAGGACACATGTGCAGTGAAGGCATTCTCATCCGTGTTGAATATGGCTTGATCAAAAAATTCCCACCCTTTCTTAGTGTTGTCATCCTCTACACTCTTTTGGTCTTCATCCACAATAATAATATTCAGCTCTTTTTTACAACGATGTCTTGGAGCGAATTTTTCATTGCAATATGAGCATAGTACTTTATCTCTTCTCTTTTGAAATTTTTGATCCATCAATTTGAGTATCTTGTGGTTACTCACAAGTGGCTTGGATGTCATGGAATTTCCCCTTTATGTGCCTTCAGCTGAATTCTAATAATCTTTCTTGAAATTACATCTGTTACTTGTATTTTGGAATTCTCTTTTGTAAGAATTATGACCTGGTTCCCAAAGAATTTATTTCTGCTACGTCTGTTTTCCTGAAGATGAATCTTAGCTTGAATTGATAAATCCATTATTTCTCTAAACCCCAATGGCTTATGCTTTGTCAATTCAGATCTGATGTCTAGTTTCAAACCCCTGACGTATGCATCCTCTAATATTTCTGTGTATATGAGGTAGAAAGGCTGCAATTCATTCAAATTCAAGTATGTACTCTCTTACTGATGTGGTTTGTTGTAAACTCATTAGTTGTTGCAGTGAACTCCTTGTCTTGGACATCTTGAACCATTTCCTCAATTGGCTCTTGAAGTCATGCCAATCTTGAAATGAAAACCTATCTTCTATCCAGAGATACCATTCTAGGGCTTCTCCCTCCATATTCAACATAATTTGCTTGAGTCTATCATGTTCTGGCATAGGGTTTAGGTGGAAATATCTCTCAGCATGCCTGATCCATCCCTTAGGGCCATCTCCTTGGAAAACTGATAACTCTATCTTCTGATTTATCTGTGTTTAGCCATCTTGTGAAGCTTGGCTTGAATGAGTGGTGCCATTATATGGTTGCCTAGTTTCCTCTCTTGGATCTTCATTTGTATGCGAACTGGAGTGTGCATCCCTTGTGAAAAATTTCTAGAGAATCTGGTTGAGGATTTTTCTTTGCTCGATTAAGGATTGTTCTTGTTTAGCATACCCTTGTTTTAGGGATGCGACCTCTTCTTCTAACAAAGCCACCTGATGTGCCTTAGACCTAGTGAACATCTGCCATCAAGATAGGTTTCAATTTGTACTAGATGATCGTTCTTCTTGCTGTAAATCTGCCAAATCTTCTTCCAATACTCTGACTCTGTGGAATTACGGTTGAACGAAATCGTTTTAAGAATTGCCTTTGTTTCTTGAATTCGTTGTAGTCCGAACTTGGAAAGAATTTCTCCTTCAGCCTTGCTAATTCAATCTCTATTAGGGTGCCGAACAGAATCTTGCTCCCGTACTCGCGGTAATTGCTCCGAGCTCCCGCAAAAAGACCAGGATGTCCTGCTCTGATACCAATGTTACGAACCTCCTAAGATTTGGGCGAACGTACGCCCTAATCCTACCTTAGACATGGCTCCATTCATGGGTTCAACTGTTCTTGTATTGAAGAACCAGACAGAAGAATTAACAATGGAAAATGAAAAGACAGTAGAGGTTAGCAGACAATAGGATGAGTTCTTGAGGTTAGATCAATCCTCAGGAACAGAAGAGCCTGAATTGAACCTCCCCAGGGACAGATCTCCCACTCTACTCCTCTGTTTTTCTTCCTTCCTTATTTCGAGCGACTTCTATGGTGGTCTCCCCTCAACATGGGGGTCTAGGTCATCTTGTGTAGACCACGGTTGGCTTTGTAACATCTTGTCTGACCATGATTCTAGTTTTCTAGTTGTCACTTACGTGTTTATATTTATCATATATTCATCATCTTGTATATCTTTCTAATGCAGGAGTTTTTGCTAAAGATCCGAGTATCTTGCATCGTGTGGGGCATGTGTTACTTCAGCTTCCATGCTCTGAAAAACGCCAGCCTAGGCATATCATGATAGTTGATGACTACTTTCAGTTACTTAAGATACCAGCAAATCGGATTACTCAGGTGGTGACTAAATCTACCGAGAAGCTCTTTGGAAGTATGTACTGGATGGATGGCACTTTACCGAGAATACTGGTTCTTTTGGATGCTCGTTGTTTTCTTGCTAATCAATAAAACTGCTTAATATTTTTTTTGCAATTTGTGCCTCCAGGACAAGTCCTTAACCACATAAATCTAGGGGATTATTTAGCTGCAAGGGTTCCCAGTTTGAAACAGCTAAATGATGGGATTCAAAGCAGTGACCAGAAACTTAGATCGCTAAAGTCACTTGGAAAAGCTATGCAAATGCTACAGAGGTGAGTGCTTCAAATTCTGTTCAAATTCTGTAAAGTGGCGTGACTAAGACGCTAAATGTCTCTTTTTCTTGCACTCGGAGATTCGATACTATGCTTGTAATTTCATGGCCAAACCACACATAAGATTTACTTAAATGCTATTCTTTTACCCTTAGTGGAGCCTTCGCCTCATCTACACATTTGATGGAAATTAATGTTTATATATTTTTGCATCGAAGATTTTGATGGAAATCACAGTTTTTAGCAAGATAACATAACACGATGGGCAGAATACTCTTTTGCAAAGTTCTTCTACCGTTATATATTATGGTAACGTCTCTTCGAATTTAATCATAGGAACACTATAGCATCATCCGTTATAGTTCTACCACACATTTTCAAGTTAGACAGCTTCTCTCACCCGAGCAGGAATATAAGGACCAGTAGATGCAATTGTAAACCTCATGCTGTGGTTTTGGTGTTTCAGTGGAAAATAAGAAAAACCAACTCAACTGCTAAAATCCAAATCATGTTACAAGGTCTCTAGCCAGATCATTATGACTTTGGATTTATAATGATGCTGTGTCCCAGGTCCAATCAAGAAGTATTTGTGTTATAATTTGTATTTGCTTTTCACTTCTCAAACTCTGCCATTTGATACTTAAAGGATGTAAATATATTCAAGTGAGGGGTTGTCTTTTCTCACTAGATTACATAGAGCATGGTGGTGTCACAACAAATAACATTCATCCTTCGTTCCTTAAACATAGAAGTTCATCCAATCTTTGAATCTCCAGAACTAAGACATAACCTACAAACTCAAAGGGTTTACCGCCACTGAACTGGTCCTCCATAAAAGAGAGTTCCATTTGTCAAATGTTGGTTACCCCGAATGAAGACAAAAGTCTTTTCCTAATGTTCTCCCCAGATTGCCCATGACATAGTTGTGGCAGTAGTTTCAGCAAATTCAATTCTTAAGGAGTGCATTTTTAAATATATTTCATTTTTCTTGATATCATTAAAAAAATATTATCATGTCAAAGAAACCCATAATCAGTAATTGTTTCCATAGCTTAAACGATCTGATATAAATTCCAACAAGAGATGATCAATATCTCAATAAGAAGCCCATAGAAAGATAGTCTCCTGGGGTACAATCTCCTGTACTATTTTCTATTTGATGATCCTAACATTGAGTGGGAAGAGTTTTATGGATTATATTATTTCTCCGAGCTTCATGCATAACATCTGTCAAACTACCAATGAAGAATCTCTTTGAGAAGCTCCCCTTGGCGGTCTGTTTCCTGCTTTATTCTGCATCATCTTTCATAATATACCCTAGGGTTTTGTATTGCTGCAGCTTTGGCGGCTTCTCATGTTCAGCATCAATACAACTACCCCGAAATCAAGGGTAGTTGTCACATCATTTTCATTTTCTTATGTCATCATTTTCATTGCCTTGTATTTATATTACTACATTGCCTATGTAAATGTTTCGCATACGAAAGGAACCTGTCCACTTATTGCACTTGTTGTGCATAGGATCTTCATTATCTCGTAATATATAATTTTAGACAGCATACTCATTTTCTTTCTCCTTTTAACGACAGTCATGAATTTAAAAGCATCCATGGGGAGTGGATTGGATCTGTCAGACCTGCTCTTAGTTCATTTTTATCAAAGCAGTTGGATGCCTTATCAGAGACTAGCAGCTTCACAATTGAGCGCTGCCAATCAGTAAGGAACGAGATGCGGCTGGCTCTCAATGCTTTACTAAAGGTAACATTCTTGGAGGCGCATACATCATATATGCATTTTTTTATGATTTGGTGACACCCTTCGATCTTTTTAATGGTTTATATGTCATGGTATTTAGCTGGGATGGCCAGCGTCAGATTAGTCAATGCTCAGATGAGTTTTTTTAATGTTTATCCACGAAAATCCCATCTGGAGACGTAAAAAATTATAATATCTCGCTACAGAAATAGTTGATTTTTATTTTTTTTGTGGGCTGCTTAATTCAACCGATGCATTTCATAAAATCCTTGACTAGCACTTGTGAGAAATGTTGTGCAGGAAATATATATTACTTTTGAAAGAAAACGAGTGCTGGCCAAGTAGGCTTATTTACATGCGTTGATTAGCTTCCAGGCCAGTCTTCGGATCTTACCAAAGGTTAAATGAGCTTCGTGGTACCTGCGACTGTACTAATGTTGCACAGAGCATTCATCGCATTTCTTAATGATGGTTTCTCCCAACCAATATTTTCTCCATAGAGAGATTCACCTCCCGCAATACTCTTACGCCTTCCTGGTCAACCCTGTTTCCCTTCCTTTCTGTCATCAACTGCTCTTGACCCATCCCTGGTCGCATCTATTGAAATGCTATCATATCTCGGCTCCCATTATCAATCAAACTCTGACCCCAGTCGATGCTTCAAGATGGATTTCCTATGCCTTGCACGCAGAGGTCTTGGTGTTGTATAATTAGCCTCAGATGGTCATACATACTTTTAATAAAGTTCCTAAATATTTGCCTACTATTTATTCCATTGGGAACAATTTCCGAGATTTAAAAACAGGTTGTGGTCGAGAATAGCCCTTCCGGTAGTTCTATGCATATCGATTAGATAATAGTAATAGATGCGAGATTTTATCTAATTTCATGAAGGGGGATTTATCCTGAGAATTTAGGTTTTCTGATTGAAAATGTGGATCTTCTGCGGTAGGAGCTTGTACAATAATGTTAACTCTGCCGCGGATCATACTCTAAAAATGATCTAAAATGCTGCCCATTCATGGATCTTCATGCAACATGATGTATCTTTTAATTTCGAGAGCTACTAGTGTAATGACCCTTCACAAACGTGAGATTATGCTCTTTCCTGACTTACGCTCGCTTCCAAATGACTGGTTCATTTCACACCTGCGCCTGCGTGGTTTATCCTATAAATCTTGTCCTCTGCCATTCTTATTATATTGTCCACGTGCAGGATGATGGACTCCTTGTGATTCCTACAGTTCCAGGATCTCCTCCCAAATATGGTTCCAGAGAGATACTTTCAGACGACTACCAAATAGCTGCACTGTCCCTTTTAGCTATTGCCAGCATGTCCGGTTGCTGTCAGGTATACTCTCCCTCTCTCTCTCTCTCTCTCTCATACACGACCAGTGTCAATTGAGCTGTGCCTTGCCTCCGATTGCACTGCAGGCAACCATCCCTCTGGGGTTCCACGAGAAGAGCCCTGTCTCAGTTTCGATCATTGCTAGGCAGGGAGGCGATCGATTTCTGCTGGATACTGTCCAGGCCATCTATGCCTCACTTCAGGAACATGTCGACAATTTGGTGAAATCTAGCTCATCAAGTAAGACCATTAGCCTTGAAGAATCTGCCGAGCTGGCGAAAGAGAAGGTAGGTAATTAGTGTCCTTCCATTTTTATCCCGGAGAAAGAAGTAATACCATTAGCCTTGAAATCTAGCTCATCAAGTAAGACCATTAGTGTCCTTCCATAATCGCCATTCTATGTTGCATTACTCGATCTGATATTGTTAGTATAATCGCATTAGAAAATTGAAAAAAATAAAAACTATGATTCTCATGGATCTCCTCCACTTTCTGCGGCCTAGTCTTGATCTAGATGTCTTAATTTCTTGCATCAAAAAGTGAAAAAATAGAAAACAAGCTGTTCCACAGATGGCCCCCTCTTCTCTTGTTTCAATTGGGTTTGAGCTGAATTCTGTCAATTCTCCACCGGACATCTTTAGATTCAACAAATACTTCTTTCTCAGATTTCATGTATATTTTTCTCCGAACTTTGGTGTATTTTCTCTGATCAGAATATTCTTTCTCGCGGTACAGGGTAACGCCGCTTACAAAGATAAACAGTGGCAGAAGGCAGTAAGCTTCTACTCTGAAGCAATTAAACTGAGTGGCAAGAACCCTACCTATTACAGTAATAGGGCCGCTGCCTACCTGGAGACTGGGAGGTACCCCCCCACTCTTCTTGCTCCCTCCCACTTCATTGTCTTCTCCATCATTTTTTAACTAAATTCTTTTATAATTTTCTTCCGCCAGTTATCTTCAAGCAGAAGCAGATTGCAGCACCGCCATCAGCCTGGATAAAAAGGTCAGCGGCGCCAATTCTGGGCTCTTGCTTTGACTTCTGTCGATCACCATTGTAAGGGTCACTGGATTCCCTTGTATGTATGCTCACCACCTGCATCTATGGATGATGACCTTTCAGGGTGTGAAGGCTTACCTGCGTCGGGGCACGGCCCGGGAGCTTCTGGGCTACTACAAGGATGCTGTGGAAGGTGCCTCTCTCTCTCTCTCTCTCTCTCTCTCTAGCTATCTATCTATCTATCCATCGCGCTGATGAGAGAGGTGGTGGTGTGTGTTCGGTGATGCAGATTTCAAATATGCTCTAGTTCTTGAGCCGACGAACAAAACGGCGAATGTGGCGCTGAGTAGATTGCAGAAGCTTTTCCAGTGATGCGGGGTTTTCTGCGGTGGGGCGGGCGACGGAGGGCCAGGGATGGAGAGTCTTAGGGCGGCGGATTACGAGCAGGAATGGGGACAGATTTCCTCTCCAATTTTTCTCCTTTCCCGGTGAGGGCAGCAGCAGCAGGTTCATGCAGTTTTGACTCAAATTTGTATGCTTTTTTTTTTTCGTGGGTTGACCTCGAATCATCTCCTCCCCATCTTCCTCTTCCTTCTTTTCGGCTTTGGATTCTCTTCTAGAGCCCATCCGTTTCGTTTCGTATCGACATCAACCTCCCTCTCTCTCTCTCTTTCTCTCTCTAGCATCGTCCCTCCTTCCTTCCGAGGGCCGGCGGAGAATGTTAGGCGGCGGTCGTGTGGGGGGAATTCAATGCCCGTGGGCGAAAGAGAGCCTGCCGAGTCACAGCGGCGGTGCCGGACAACGACGCCCGACGGGCCCCGCCGCCTCCCAGTCGACGTCGACGTTGCTGGTTAAGGGATTTCCGGCCAAATTCAGATCGCCGGAACAGCGAAAGCCATACGGGACTGATGCTCCTTAGAGAATGTCCAACGGCAAATAAACTATTCTCTAATCTCCCATTAGATGTCAACTTCGATGTCTCCCCATTCGAAAGAGAGAGAGACAGAGACACAGAGAGAGACGTCGGCGGGTGCCGGGGTTTGACCCGTCTTCCTCTCCGGAAATGCGCCAAGTGGTAAGAAGCCACGGCGGAGCAACCCAACCCAGCAGGGAATGAATCGTAGAGTATCAGAAGTGGTCAGAGGATGAAGATGACCTGTCCCCCCTACCATTCGTACACGGGGACGGCTTTCCGAAGGAGTCAATCAGGGCCTCTGCGCGGCGGGTGGCGGCGTCCTCCGTCTCCGCCGTCCTCCGCCCTGCGAGGAGGCACGACGTTTGGCAACGCAGGATTACGTCAACGCCCATTGACTTCCCTCAACGAACGATCCACGACACAAATCGCCAGGATAAACGCACGCAGACACAGAGACAGAGAGAGAGAGCAAGGGGGGCTCCAATTTCTCTGGTCTTCTTCAATGATTGAGGGGCGGTTGTGCTTAAGCTGTAGCGGGTGACGGTGGATGGTGCCATTGAAGAGAATCGACTAGACTATGTGATGTGATCGGAGAGGATCGAAGATAAAATCCACGCGGATATATTTTTTTGTGCGTACACATACAGATTAAACTAAGGGAAGAAGTGCGGCGATTGAGAAGCTCCGGCGTAGTCGGGGTCGGTTGCTAACGCGTGGAGGTTGGAGGTTGGAGGAGGGCAATGCGAGCTCGGCTCCACCGCCGAAGCAGGCACTGTTCTTCGTCAGAGTCGTCCACCTCTGAGAGGCCCGTGATTGAATTAACAATTCGGAGCTACAGCAGAGAGAGAAAGAGAAAGAGATAAGGTCCGCGGTAGACGGAGAGAGGGAGGAGTTGCAGAGTCTGGGTTTAAACTATTGCTCGAAATCAAAGAAAGGGCGGGTGCGCGAATGCCCACGCTTCAAGAATATTTACAGCTTCGAGAGATTCCCGCACCGGCCGGGCTGCTCCCTGGGTCCCCTCGCTGCCTCCAACCTCCTGTCATCAGATTCATCACAATTGACAATTCATCCTCACGCAGTCACACAGATGGGTAGAGAGAGAGGGTAAAGATTTCCCTTTTCCCTGGTCCGTTCTAATCGAAGAGAGCTGACAGAGAGAGAGATAAGGGGGGTGGATATGAGGTCTTCGGCTGCTCAGCACCGGCGTCCCATGGGCCCCGTGCCACCGCCGCTGGTGCAGTGATGACGGTGATTTGCGATCGCGACTGCGCCGGCGGCGGGGGGCCCGCCACGAGAAGGCTTTAGTCGCTTGACGGCTCCGCCGGCGGTGGGTCGCCCCACCCGTCGCTTCCACCCCCTACTGTTTTCCCCTTGTCCTGGCCCCCCCCCCACCCCTACGAGATACAGGAGTCCGCTAAAACCGACGCCCTACCAGGCGGAGCGCCTCCTCGTCCCCCACCGCACGCCGGCGACCTCTGCGATTAAGTAACAGGGCAGATTGGAGTATGAACACTCACTATGTCCCCGGCGGCAAGGGAGGAGGATTAACAAGAACAGGAATAGAAGACGACTCCCCATTCTTTATTTCTGGAACGCAGTTCATAGTTTATTGGGAAGAAGAAGATACACATCTGACGGGACGCGGCAGAGGTGTGGCCGAAACTGAAGATGGTAGTGACGGTGGTGGTGGCGCTACTGAACGGCGGCGGCGGCGGCGGCGACGCCCTCCCAGAATCCCCAGATAATTCATTCAGCAGGTGGCGAGAGCGCCACCCCTTACCCTCCCACCCCCGGGAAAGAGTAGTAGAGAATTTCAATAGACAAAAGGGAAGGGGGGAAGAAGGAAGAGGGGGGGGGGGAGGGGCGGTGGGGGGGACGATCATGGGCTCGGAAATTTGCAGCTACTACAGAGATGAACGGTCCGTCAGTTCTGTGGGGCGGCGGCGGAGCGGGGCGTAGAATCGGCAAGCCGCCAGGCGGAGGTGGTGATGAGGGGCCGCGTGTGCCAGCCGAGCATGAGACATCCATCCTTCTCCTCGACCCGGTAACCATCGCCGCCGGCGAAGACGTCGAGTAGCATGCTGGCCTGCTTGAAGGCATTGGAGCCGATGTGCACCGGCTCAAACCCGGCGGCCTCCATTCTCCCCCTCCATTGGCCGATGGTCTCGTGCCGCTCCGTCCTCTCCGGCCCTTCGCAGGCCACGACATTGCAGATCTGCTTCCCCAGGTAAACCTCCGTCATCACCTGGATCTGCCCGGCCTCAACGGCGTCGGCGGCGCCGCCTAGCTCGCCGGCGGACGGCAGCGGCGCAGCGCAGCCCTCCAGGGAGTCGAACATGGTGGAATAGTAGTGCAGCGCCTCGTTGAACCTCTCCACGAACACCGGCCCATTGTGGTTGGCCTCCTGCTCGACGACGGTGACGATCTTGGGTTGCAGGGCCCGCACCGTCCCGAGCACCTTCTCGACAGCACCGGACCTGGCCAGCATCTTGTGCAACTCCAGCACCGAGTTGATCGCCAGGACTTCCTCTTCCTGCTCCTCGCCAGCGGCGGCAGCGCTGTCGCCCTTCCGCCGGCGGTCACCGGACGAAGAAGACGACCGAGAAGAGGAGGCGAGCTCGAGCATGTATGGCTCCAGGTCGGCAAGGCTGGCAGCGACGAAGCCCCTGTACTCGAACTCGACGTGCATGCTCTCCGCTAGCTGGGCGAGCTTCCAGCCGACCTGTTGCAGGGCGTCGGAGTTGTCGGGCTGCGGGGGGCCGATGCCGGTGAGGCGGAAGGAAGGAGGCCCTCCGGGGCGGAGGGCGAGGGCCTGCATAAGCGCCGGCCATTGCTGGCCCTGCTTCATGCTGAAGTCGATCACATGGACGCGGCTCTTGCCGGCGAAGGCCTCTAGGATGGCCTGGTTAGCGGTGAAGTGGGCGAACTTGAGGTAGGGGCAGCTCTCGTAGAAGTGCATCTGCAGGATGTCCTCGAAGGCGGCGTCGGTGCGGGACTGGTCCTGGCCGGGGCGGATTCTGTAGATTCTCCGGGCGAGGGCCTCCGCGAAGTAGGTGGCGACCTTCCTCATGGCACCGCCCTGGGACATGGTCAGCACACCGATTTGCTTCACCAGCGCCTCCGCAGCCTTGAGGTTGTCTTGCTGCACCGCCTCCGCACAGGCCATCAGGGTGTACACCAGCCGGATCCCCGTCTCCTGCGAGTCAACGAGCACCACCTGTACTGGGGATTCCGGCGATGGCGGCGGCACCGCCGCTGCATGCGAGGTCCTCAGTCTCTTCCTGTCCCTCACCTCTGTCTCTGCGCAATCGGAATTTCCGTACATGACGCGGCCGCCAGGGATGGCCTGGAGGTCGGAGTCCGACGATGGCCGGCTGGAGTCGGGGAAATCGATGGTGGCGATGGACGGCACCGGAAAGTCTGGAAGGAGGGCCGGCGGGTTGGAGAGAGAAGGCCCGGCCGGCGGCGCTCGGAGGGGGTTATCTGCAGCGATGGAGGAGGAGGAAGAGGAGGAAGAAGAAGGGGCCTTCGCGGTGGGAGCTGGTGGAGGAGGCGCGTTGAGCTCGGAAAGCATGGTCTCCAGCCAGGTGGAGAGGTCGGAGGGGTTGTAGTGGACGGTCTCTGAGGAGAGATGTGTGAGGATGAAGTTGTCGTCGGGGGTCCCGCCGCCGACGACGGCGCCGCTGACCATAGCCATCTCCAGCTGCTCCAGCTTCTGCGCCACATCCGCCATATCAGAGGACAGCACCTTGTAGCCCATCACCGCAAGGTCCTCATCCACGCCGGCGTCCTGCTGCTCCGCCATCATCATCATCAACTTGTTCTTGCCGGAGAAACCCTGTTGCTGCTGCTGCGCCCTATCTCCGCCGGCGCCACCGCCGCAGTCCCTGCCGTCGGTGTATTCCCGCTTCATCCCTTGTTGCGATGAGATCCGACGCAGCTGAAGGCCGATCGACGAGCTACCCAGATCAAATCGTGGCTATCCGCCACCACTTCTGCGAGAAACCAGAGAGGAAGAGCGCCACTGGAGGTTCAACGCTGGGAGGAAGAAGAAGAGAGAGAGCGAGAGAGAGAGAGGAGAAGGGGGAGGAGGAAGCCGTACTGTCCGGGCACCTCCCGTGATGGATAGGGCAGGCGCGCCTCCCGACGGGCGATGGAGGCGCTTCCAATCGGGTGCTTGCTTTCCCCCCCGGGAAAAAGTGAGAGGCCTAGAAAACGGAAGCCCGATTGGACGATGAGGAGGAAGCGGCAGAGACCGCAGCGAGGACCTGCGATTTCAAGGGTGAGGAGGGCGGTGGAGAGACCAGGACGATGGAAGGAGAGAGAGGCGAGGCAGGCAGGCAGGCTGTGGGAGTCAGAGCCCCAAAGGAGTGTGACGAGACGAAGCCAGGGGAGGAGAGGGAATGGAGGCGGGGCCTCATCAACATCTATCGTCCTCTCTCTCTCTCTCTCTATCTCCTATTTCTTTCTATCTCTCTCACTACTCCCTTTCTGATCATCTATCAGCGATATTACGGCATTAACCCAGGGATGATGAGGTCTGTAAGTTCCGAGCAAGCCCCCGTTTGCCCTAATAGCGGCCGCTTGCCGCCCGGGCGCCGGTGATCCGCCGCCGTCCTCGGTAGCGCCGCTAACCTCACCCTACCCTCATCCCTGCTCCTGCCGCCACCTGTGGACCGTACAGCCTCGATTATCGAAGCTAATCTCACCGATGACCGGGGGGGGGATAGGGAGAGAGGAGGAGAGGAGCTCGATGGCCCTCCCACTAATGGAGTCTTCCTGGCAACTAGGCACGTGTACCCAGCGCGTGGATCATCTCATTTCCCTCTCGACGCCCCGGGGACCCCACGTCACGACGACGACGCCGAAGCCGCCGCCGGAGGAGGAGGAGGTCACGGGCCGCGCCGCCCGACCAAACGCCGTTTCCGCGGCGGAGTGATGGTGGCGCAAACGGGGAGGGCCCCCCCTCCCCCGTGAGAGGAAGGGAAAGGATGACGCCGACAGTGAACGGCCTCTCGTTCCCGTCCTCAGCCCCCGCCCTCTCTCTCTGCCCTTTCTCTTTTTCTTTTACTTCCCTCTGCCTTTCTGCAGCTGCTGCGCTGCCGCCCTGCTGCTGCACCCACCCTTCCTCTCCCTCTCTTTCTCTCTCTACCCGACGGCGTACAGCCCCGACCACCGCCTGTCTTTTCCTCAGCGTATAATTGGCGTCCCCATGGTAGAGGGCTGACGTCCGCCGGCCCCCCCGGCGGGCACTATTCCTCCTGCTTTCGAGGGGCCGCTTCGGAAAATCACTGCCGGGAGGGCCCGCCGCGGCCGCGCATCACAGTAGCAGCACCGCCGTGGCCCCCCGCCGGCGTACGCTCCACGTGTGGAGATTCCATCCCCGGAGCCCCCCCCCGGTCCCGGGACCTCTCCCTCTCCGGCCGCCAAAGCCCTACATGGGATCGGCCTGAGAGTTGACCGGCTCCGGTGCCGGCGCCGCCGACCGGCCGGCAGTGGCCGATCCGGCGCCTGGGCGGCCATCAGGTCGAGGAGGACCGGATTTGACGGCTCACCGGCTGTAACAACCTGTCCGGGAGAACGGGCGGTGGTAGCCCTGCCTACGTCGCCACCGCTGCCAGCGCTGCGCCACCGCCCGCCGGCCCCTCTCCGCCCCCACCCAGCGGTGCCAGCGGTGGCGCCCCCCCCACCTGCAGCAGCCCTTGATGGGGAGAGAGAGGACGACGGGACTAGTCCACTTTGATCGTCGGCCCCCCTCCTCTCCTCCTCTCCCTCTTACCTTAGACCCCGGGGAAATAGGAATAGCCGCTTAGGGCTGGCCCGCACCTCTAACCCCTCTCTTTCCTATCTCTCTCCGGCGGCGATGGTTGCTGTTGGTGACCAGTGGTAGGGCGCACTGTGCTGGCGGCCGGCCGGGGAAGTCTGCTCCGACAAGCTCGTATGTACGTCCACCTCCTTCAGGGGCAGATTGCTAGTAGCGCTCGAGTCGCATTAATGGGCCTAATGGACCGACCCTCCTCCCCCTTCCCACCGCCACCACCAGTTTCTTACACCCATTCACGACGGAAAGAGATTGCCAGAGAGAAGAGAGAGAGAGAGAGGAGAGAGAAACGAGAGGCTTCGCCGCCTGCTGGCGACGGGTCTATCGCATTCTCGCCGGTGCTGGAGGGGGACTGTTGCCTGAGAGGGAGGGAACGAGGAGGCGTTCCTGCGGGCATGAGCTATTATTGACGCTCTGCGGAGGCCCGCCGGCCGGCGGGGGGAGGCCTAGTGGTGGCGGACGGTGACTGGAGCACGGAGGGTGGCGGGCCCTTCCATCACATGCGGGCGCTATCGGCGGTGACGGCGAGTGGGGGAAGGTGCCCGAGTAAAGGAAGCCCCCGGCTTTCGCAGGAGGGACCGCCCGGCTCCCGGCCTGTGGCTACGGCGGCGACGGACGGAGACTGTAAATCCAGTTTAGACGGCGGCGGGTGTGCCCTACTCCACCGCCCGCTCTTCTGAGAGGAAATGGTGGCGCGGAAAGAGAGAAGGGGGTGGGTCGGCGGCTCCATCATCACGTCGCCGCCAGAAGAGCGGCAGGCGGCAGCGGCGGTCCCATTCCGCTGCGCGCGTCTGGCACGCCCCGTCGCTGTCCGGCGGGCTGCGCGGTGGGTCTCCCCAATCGGCACCGCACAGAGGAGCCGTCATACTGCGGCGCCTTTCCCTGCGCGCTCATCTTGTCAGTCCTCGCACTGTTCCCCCACAGTAGCTTCCAAACCCATCCTTTTACAGGTGCCCACCGGAGGGGAGTTCCGATGATTCCACCGGAGCCCTCCTCCTTCCCTCCCCCCCGCCCCCCCCCGGCCCATTAATGGCCTCCACCCGCCTTCCCCACACCCCGAGAGAAGCCCGGCCGGCTCACAGTTCCAGCGCCGGCGCTCATTACTCCGCCCGCGCCGCCGCTCCAGCGTCGTCGGTAAAGGGAAAGAAAATCCCTCCAGCCGCCGCCGATAATGCAGAACCCAGTACTTGAAAATGATCGTGGAGCCTTGTTTATGATCTGGGATGCATCGAAAATGCGGCGAGATAGTACCCATCTGTTCGTATTTCTAATTTCTCTTGGGCATTTTTAACTAATTTAAAATCGTAAAAAACGTGCGGGCAGAGAATAGGACGCTCTCGCACACGCGCGCTGAAAGGGACACGGCGGCGGCGGTAGTAGGTAGCTCGACGGCGATCACTGTGTGGGTGGCCGTCGGGGCGTTGACCACGGCCGACGTAGAGCAGACGGAGTCTGCTCCTTCCCCCGTGCGCCGCCCTTCTGTCCGTGGAGAGCTGGTGCGTCGGAAGGGTTCCCCGCCTGGATGCCCGCCATTGTTGACTTCCGAACCGCCGCCCTCCCCTTCTCTGTGGCGGTAAACGTTTTGCGAGCGGCTCTTGGTAGCCATGGATACGGCCGGGCCACCGCAGCATGGTCCACGTCCCCGTCCATCTCAATTCCTCCATCTCCATCATTTCTCTCTCTCTCGCAGTAGGCGCGCCGTGCGCGCGCTCTCGTGTTGAATAGTAGATCTTCGACCCAAAGTCAATTCTTGGAATCTCTCCGACGGAGGAAGAATTCCGTTTTCTCCTTAATCACAGTTGGGTCATTCGTTCCACTGCTACCAACCCACCTGCATCTGCAAGTTCACAAGCAATAGGCCGTAAAGCAACAGAGAGTTTTTCGAAAGTTGTTTTTTTTTCCTGATACTTTGTGAGCTCGAGAAATATGGACAAAGAGGGCGGATGTATCCGTTTAATGATCCACGAGAAATTAAGTGCCTTTCTGGTTTTCAATTGCAGTAATAAGACTTCAAAAATCATTGTCCGCTCATTATTTGTGCATTTTGGGTCGATTAATTGCAGTCAAGATGATAAACTTTGACAGAAAATGCTCCCATAATTATGCTGTCTCACTCTTTCTCTCTGTTAGCTCTTCTAATCGTTGGGGACGGTAGAGACGTAGTGGTCCTGAACTACACAGCGTTGGGACCTCTCTCTCTCTCGCTGGCCCCTTCCTGTTGGTTCCATAAGCCCTATCTCCATGCCGCCGTCGCTCTCAGACGCGTCACTGGATAGGGGTAGAGGGAGTAGAGAGAAAGGGACGACGGAGAGGGAGAGGAAGCGCCGACGGCCTTCACTCTCTCACTCTCATTGATCACGCCTCCACAAGACCTTAAGTAGAGAGAGTGGGAGGCGGCTGTCGGCCGACAGACATTTACACCATAAGGCCGCCATGCCTGACTGAGCCAATGGAGGGGGAGGGAGAGAGAGCGAGAGAGAGAGAGGAATTTAACGTAGTCTTCCTCGCACAAAATTGTATCCTATACCTGGGAGACTGATATCAAATCGCTTCAATTAATGTCTTGCTGGTGCCTCACCCGACTGACTGGTTATAATGGAAACTGATAATCACCACCATTTTTCGGGAAAATGGTATGATCTTCACTCGTTGTGAATGAACAAATAATGTCAAGAGTCCGGTTCTCGCCCAGAGAAAGTCGACGCTGGGAAAAATTATCATTTCGAAAGTCTGTTTGAATTTCTTGGGGTTTGAAGTTTTACAGTCATGCATCCGAATCTTGCCTTAATATGCAAAAAACAAATTGATCATATCATTTGTTTTGAAAGCATTCATTTATATGAAGACGTGCCGATGCTTCCCTTTGTAATAACTAGAGCTCTCGTTGAGATAAAATATTTTTTGATTTAAGTCCTTTCAAAATAGAAATCATAAGGAACTCTAACCACAATATCCAAAGCTATCCCGAAATTAAGAGCACAAAAGTTTGCTAATGTATGAGACTGGTGAAATATATCACATCTTAACAAACATTCATTATAACTGATCCGCTTACTCTCCTTTAACATCAATAACAGAAATACCGTACGTTGTATTGAATTACTAATGTTATAAACTCATTTGAAGTGATTGATTCATTTTCTTACACATTTGTGATGTCTTATGCATAATTTGTTAACTTCATGTCAGTAATTTTTTGCAGTAATTTGTAAATGATAAAATCATAATTCTTCTTTATTATATGACAGAAATACGGTATTTTGGATAAAAAATGTCGTAAATTTGTATACACATTCGATTGTCTTTCAAGAAAAACCAACTAATGCCATCCTCCCTTAGTTGGCTCACTTGGGACTAATACATACAACTTGAGTAAAGATAATTTATTTAGTACTTGATTAATAAATCTATTGTCTCTTTAAACTTTATTAGATACAAGATCTTGCTTGAGATGTTACGCTATCACTCTACTTTTGTGAAAATTCTTGAAAGAATCATTTATGTACAATTTTTTTTAGCTGCTCAAAACCATATGTTATGAACATTTTAATAGCATTGTTTTTTTATTAATTACAAGTTAATATAATGATCCATTCAACTTCACTTGTAAAAGCATATTGGTACGATTAAGGTTCTTCCTGCCAATTTTTCCACATATCACGATATTTTCCATTTATACCAATATTTAAGCAAAATAGTAATATCCCGTCAACATTCACACCATGAAAATGTGATGTTCATGCCTATTTTAATATAAATATATTTTAAGAGTACTTAATTTAGAGAAATCTAATGAATGAATGACCTTTTACTAAGTGTCTCACGCCATGGCTTTCGGCTCAGCCCAATTAATTAGGAGACAATAGGCACACATGATTCCTTTTTACTCTCTATAAAATGTATTGTCTACTCAACATGTATCAATCCTCATGACATCTTTTCACCTATTAGTGTATAACAGTGACTCAATATTTTCATGGATAAAAAGATCATTCTATACAATGGATAATGGTAGATTATAAATCTACACAACTTTTGGGTTACACTCTCTTCTTGTAACTATTTGAATGTAAAGTGTAACTTTTTGAATAATATGGGCCAAGCATAGAAATTAGTTCAATGTTTAAACTTAACTTCACACTGTAAACATGTTTAATAACTTCATTTTCATTACAGTAACATGCTTAAAATCACAAAATCTAATACCATCACAATAATTCATGAAAAGCTCAAAGGTGTACATATAATATATATATATATATATATAAATATATGCTCTTGTGATGATTAGGAGCAATATTACTTTGTGTTAGTTAGTAATAAGAATTGTGCAATATTAGGGGGAAGACTTGTTTTCCTTGTTTTTCTATCAATGATTCATTTAAGACGGATTCAAAATAATTTAAATATTTCAAGGCTATCGTTTTTATATGCATATTTTAGTAAAGTATCATATCTCTATTATTAAAAATTAAAAAATTATATAGAAAATTAAAATTAATTTTCGTGACCACTCATTAACAATATGAAACTACTCTATAATATTATGATTAATTCCCAAAAAAATACTCAGCAAAGTTTATTTTTATATTGCACACTATAATTTCTTTAATATTCAATTGTGTGCTCTTGTGTCATATTTAATGGTATTTGGGCTAATATGAAACGACCTACTTCTCCTCAAAGAATATGGTTCCATAGTAAAGTAAGAAAAACCAACATGATCAGGACCTTTATATTCATAAAATAAATTTCACATATATTTTTAATTCATAATTTTGAATTTTATTCTTCCCAATAAATGATCAAAATTTTAGCAACAGAATGCTATTTTTTTTCATTTCAGGCAAACTTCTCCAAATTTCTAGTATAGTGTAACTAGGTTGGTAACAAAGTTGTTCATAAGTGAACTTTTAACTTAACTAGTCACATCCCCTGCTATACCATGAAAGCAGAATTATCATGGTAAATGTAAAAATTAGTTTGGCCAGTTGTTACCTATCCATTTGGTCCATTACTTATAGCAATATCACACTTGATGTTTATAAACATGCCTTTAGTAATAAAACCATAGTTCTATGTATCAGCATTAGAAATAGGCAACCACCCTCTTTCATTGGCAACCTAACTTGTAAAGATGCCAGAGCTCCGAAGTGTAATTAACTTACTGTCATTATCTCGCTTTTATTCAAGTGAATATGTCATGCGTTTTCACCAGCCCACATAATATTAGCCTTAACATTTAGAACAGTCGTGAGGTTATGAATGGAGACATTTATTATCTTAGTTTTCATGCATAGGCTAAAACATGTTTATCTGGAGAAAAGCTAATGAATGGTCCATGGAACTTCAAAGTACTGACAGGATGCTATACCCTGGTTTGCAGGATCATGCATAAGAATATTAGGGTTCAATCTTCTGCATTAAAATTTTATCCAGAGCTATTTCGGAGTTTAGAAAGTTTTTTAATTCATCCCTCTAATCCGAATACTTGATGTTTCTTTAAACATGCCGATCACAACTATTTGGTTTGCGTCGTCAAATGGTGCTCAGTATGTAATGCAGGCAAGGGGATTTTGGATATTCTAAGACAGCATAGATAGTTTCCCTTTCTGTACTCTTCATGGCGGCACTGTGCATATGTTTTCGTGTTTAGTACCAAGAATGAGTTTAGTTCAATGGCGGAGAATATGATTGAAGTATAAATCAAAATTCCATCCATTGTTACCAACGTTTGAGTTCCTGACTTCAAACGTCTAAGATTCGATAGTAGCCTCATGATCTTTCAAGATCTAACCATCAATAATTATGCATAGCATGCTAATTGAAATTAAATTATATAAAATAATGGAATTAATGCATCATAAAACGTAACTGCAAGACAAACTTCACTAGAACTCCTCAGAAATCAAATCCAAATAGCATGTAAGAACTAAAATTAGATGTAGTATAGAAATGACCTGAAGATCAACGCAAAGATTCAATGAGCATCAACGAATTTATGCCTCCACATTACAAGGGTGTCATGGGCGTACTCCCAGGATTCGACAATCATTCATCTTCTTGGAAGATTTTGATGAAGTTTAGGAAAGTCAGCACATGAAACCTTATATGATGTTATACCGTCGTGTGCGTTCATTCTAGGTACACGAGAAGAAGCATGAGTCAACGAGACCGAGTAGACAGAGCCCTCCATATCTATAAACAAAAGACAAATCCAACGTCGGAGTGGGAGGGAAAGAAGTATCCAGGACACAATGGTGTCGGTCGAGCTACTAAGAAGCATGTCTGAAAGAAAAAATGACAAAAACAAGTCATACGCTCATCTCTCTTACTCCCCCGGCTAAACGACTTCCAACCCTCATACATGGTGCGCGATGATTACGCGTTTCCCGCCAATTTGAGCAATTCATATGAACTCTAGGTTTGTTGAAAGATCTTTCATAGAAGAAGATTTCCAAAGATCCAATAGCTCTTGGATAAACACCTCGCTAAGTAGACATCCTGCTGTTTTTTTTCTATATTTGTAATTAAAAACGCAAAAATGAAAGGCCATATCTACATTATACGTGTCTATATATTACCGAGATGATAAAGTTCTGGTAGTCTACAGAAACAACGCTACCTCTGCCTGCTTGGTCGGTTATCGAATATAAACTATAAGTGTAGATCGTGGAGAGGGGAAATGAAAAGTTGAAAGAAGAAGAGGCCACCGACCAGCATCCCAAAGACGGGTACGCATACTTGAGGGATGGGGGCTGAGTGGGAGGGGGGTGGGAGAGGGGGGCATGGAGAGGGAGAGATTGAGAGAGAAAGAGGGCGTGAAAAAGCATCCTTGTAAACATTTAAGTTGAATTGACTGCATGACAAGGATATATAAACACTAGTCAAGGCTCGAATATGGGTGGCCCCGAACAGCTTCGTTACTCACTAGCCATGGCAATTTTCCTTAAGTTCAGCTTTTATTTTGCGCACGATCTTCTCTGGTAACTAAGATATTTTATTGGATGAGGGCTTCATCTCAGATGGCAGTGATGGCGAGCTTCATCCCGGCAGCGCAGTGGCCGACGACGGAGCAGATGAAGTAGTTGGTTCCCTTGCGCAGAATCACCCTATCGTTCCCGGAGGTGAAGAACCGCGACCCCCTCGTCACCCGGCAGGTCTTGTACCCAGTCACGTCCACCGCCACCACGTTGTGCAGCGCGGGACTGTACTTGAATACTGCATCCAGTCCAAACCTCGAGATTATTTCTAAGAAAACCGAACAACGAAAATGTGAAGAGAGTGTGAGATAAAATAGAGAGGAAGAAGAGGGAGAAGGGGGGAGAGAGAGAGAGAGAGAGAGAGAGAGAGAGAGAGAGAGAGAGAGAGATGGGGAGCATGGTTACTGATTTGGTCGCCAGAACGGAATCGCTTAGCCTGGGTCCAGGCGGCGGCGTTGAAGGTCCAGCCGCCCTGATCCCCCACCGTGTAGATGGTGGCATCAGAATGGAGTATGATGGATAGCAGTACCACTCCGAGGAGAACCACCGCACCTGCACTGCCCCTTCCCTGACTCCCCGCCATCTCAGCCTCTCAGCTAGAGGGAACAGAGGGTGGTAGACGCTGTAGAGAAACTACGCTGTTACACGGACGGCCGCCTTGTCCGGTGGGGTTTCTTATAGTGTGCAGAAGATGGACGACAGCTCTCTCACTCACTTAATATTGTTATTGACTTAAGGGGACTCAGTCTTGTCAGATCCACAGATCATTGAAATGGCCCAACTACCCACACCAGGCCCTTAGTTGGACTTCACTATAGCCTTTAAACAGATTCCCAAGTTCACCTTCCCGACACTATTTTTCAGAGAAAAAATCATTGAGGAAGAATATTCGCCGACACAAGGCCAGTTCAGCATTTAACATAGTTTTGTGCCTCTATTATTCGGTATTTTTTGTGAGGTTCCTCTAGAATATTTACGTAAATATCTCTAAAGTTTAATCTATCTTTGTTTATTCTCGACAACATATTTTTTTTATTTGGTTCAAACCCGTGACAGAACACCAACCGAACATGTATGAAGATAGAGAGAGAGAGAGGGAGAGATGGAGTTCGTGTCATATTCCAAAGGCTGACAACTGCCGTTTGAAGCCGTAAAAGATGACCCAGGTCGAGTGAAACCGGTCTTGGAGTTCCCACGAGGAGACATGAAATGGTGGACTTACCAAGTCTTTGGGGCGTGGGGGAGAACGATAAATGCTAGTGTTAAACCGACGAGGCGTGGACGAGTGTTATATTCTCCTTCCCTTCAACTCTTCTCATACAAGATAGACGTAGAGGCAAAGATGAAGGGGGGGGGGGGGAGAAAGACATAATTTCTCTTTCTGATGCATTTTGAAAGACGGTATATAAACACGGGGATGGAACCATGGGGATTTTTTTTGTCTCTCTCTATTTCTCTCTGGCAAATGAGCGGAAGCATAACAAGGATTAAAGACAACCTAGCCCACGAGAGGTTGGGTCGACATCTTATTATTACTACTATAATCGTCGTCATTATTGGTGTAACTATTATTATAAGGCTAGTTATCACCATTGTCATCGATCTTAGTAATGCTCCATCGGTTCACATCCCCTAAGTACCTCAGCTGCCATCGACATGAAGCACTTTCTTCTTCAAGAAAAACTTAAGCGAGGAGAGACCCACAGCCCGGTAGAGTTGCAAAAGTCAATTCCATGAGTCAAGTAGATGGCTACTCATAAGTCAATGATATGGCGTGGCATCGCGAGCGCCTCTTGGGTCGCTTGAATTCACGATGGGCAGGGCTATCGGGTTGAGCTTTGGATCTGTGCCTATTGATCATAATTCTCATTATAGACTCCAATCAAGATATTCCCTCTATGAATGGACTGTTCGACCAGAGTATCCGGGTGGACTGGGCCTAGGGACTTGCTGGATAGACCCAACCTACGCCTTTGAACCCCAGCCAAAGTTGAATTTTGGGTTGCGGCTGGTCTTCGGGCTTACCAGCCCCATTGATACTCCTGGAAGGATGAGTCACCCGTTCCATTGACATGGACACATCTGAGATCAACAAATGCTCGGCAGTTCCTCTATTCGATCCTTTTCTTTCTTCTTGTTGCTGTATATCTGGCGAGTTACAAATAGAGTTTGAAAAGATCAAATCTTTGGTGATTCCAGCGTACATGGTTGAGTTGCGAAGACTTCTGGATAGATATCCTGGCATATATGTTTGAAACAGATTCTTTTTTGAGGGATTTCAAAGAGCACGTTGAAAGGTAGCTTATCTGCCATGGGAAGGCTACAACTCTGAAGATGCGGTACTTATTGGTGAGCGTTTGATATATAGCGCCCTTGCATAGACATTGAGGCGGGCGGACACTCAGATGGAATTGACCCGTTAATATGCCCAATGTCGAGATGTACTGATTCTCTTCCTCAGAATAGGGAATTTGAAACTCCGATTCTCTACCTCTACCCAACCAACCCCTAAAAATGAGATTCATCATTTCGGAGATACCAAAAGAGCGATTCGACTCAGCTCTGGACAAAGCCGATCCTTTGACCATTACGTGGAAGCTTCTATCATGCCGCGTGCATAGTCAAACGGCATGAGATACGTGATGAACGGATGGGCCAGACCTAATCGGTGACGTCAGATATGCGACTTTCTATTCTTTTCTGAAGGTCTAGCTTTAGGCCATTACGTCGTTTCCAGAGCAATATTAGCGATTCGACTCAGCTCTAATCCGATCCGATCCGTTGACCATATTATGGAAGCTTCTATCATGCGGCGGACATAATCAGTGACGTCAGATCTACCATTTTATATTCTTTTCTGAAGGTAGCTTTCGGGCATTAAGTCGTTGGCAGAGCAATAAAGTCCACATTAAAGAGCGTACCAGTACTTTTATGCGCTCGTCACCGATGCGAGGCTCAGAGCTTAATTTTTAAAAACCTTATTCTTTGATTTTTTTTTTTAAATACACCCTTACCAGTGCCGACGTCTTCCCTTCCGTCACTGTGGAAGGTGCATCCCCTGGCCCCTCGTTTTAGTCGATGTCTTGAGGGAGAAGACAGCAGAGGGACTTCTGGTTGTTCTCACTTCGCGAAGATTCCGTTCAGGACCGAATGACGGATGTATATAGAGGGGAGGGGGGGAGGGAGGGAAGGGTAGCGGCGGTCGGAGAGAGAAAACTCGGTGAGCGATCGAGTGGTTTACCGTCTGATTGACCTATCTGTGTGAAGGAGGGAGGAGATGGCCGCAGAAGGGGCAGCAGCGGTGGCAATGCTCCCAAAGGAGTACGGTTATGTGATGCTGGTGATCGTCCTCTACGCCTTCCTGAATTTCTGGATGGCCTTCCAGGTCGGCCAGGCGCGGAGAAGGTAAACACCGTCGCCGCTCCCAGATATTCTGGAGTTGTCACTATTAAGGCCGCCGTCTTCTTTGTCTTGCCGCCTCCCTCCTCGAGTCCTCCTCTTCAATTTGTCAGATCCACTGAGGATTTCCATGCGTTAATTTGGCGACAGGTACAACGTGTTCTACCCCACCATGTACGCCACTGAGTCGGAGAACAAGGACGCTAAGCTCTTCAACTGCGTCCAGGTAACTCGCCATCCCCTCGACTTCCCGTAGGATCTAGGGTTTAAGGTTGGAGTCGCATTTCCAACTCCACTGAGATCGAATGTTGTGGGGAGCAGAGAGGTCACCAGAACTCGCTGGAGATGATGCCGCTGTTCTTGGTCACGCTCGCTTTGGGGGGGCTGAAGCACCCCATAGTGGCAGCGACCCTCGGTGCCCTCTACGCTGTCGGGCGTTTCTTCTACTTCAAGGGCTACTCCACTGGGAACCCCAACAACCGCATGAAGTTGGGGTGAGACCCGAAGAACTACTCAGAGATTCAAACCCTGATAACTCATCTCTCTCGACATCCCTTATTCATTCTTTTTCCCTGGAACTCCTGTTTTTTCTCTGCAGCGTACTCAGCTTCCCAGCAATCATGGGTCTCATCCTCTGCACGGCGTCATTGGGCGTCCACCTACTCCGACGCCAATTCTAGCTCCGCAGCCATCGCCTTCCTTCTCGTGTTCTCGACGTGAAACCGAGTGGGATAAATAAAGTCTTCATTCTCGCATGTCGACCCGCTGCTTCCAGGCTGCAATGTTTTCCCCTGTTCGCAAATTATCGTGAATTTCCCCTTCCCTATCCGCTATTGACTATTTTCGATCTGAATTCCTGATGTGGAATAGAATTGGAAGATGTTTTTTTACCAAACTTTGGGGTCTTCTGCTCGATCTTCGGCTGTTTGTGTCTGCGTCGTATAGAAAGACGGCTGGGTGATTCATAACGCAATCTAGCCTTTTGTCAACGGGACGTGCAGCTGGGGCGCTTCCTTTTCCGGAGGCCCGACCGATTCAACAGAAGAGCCATCCACCTTCACGGAATTAACAGACTTTGGAGGCCCGTAAGCCGCTCGAGTTCGTGCACCTGCAGCTGGACGTAGAGTCAACCATGTCATTCTCCAAGGCGAAGAATGGCTTCCATGGCTCTCTTTTAAAGCTCATTCAACTTCTATTTGAAGACAAGTGAGCCAGTAGTGTTCATAAGCTTCGTGGCCGTATTCAAAATAGGAAACCTAGTCCGACAACTGGGGTTTTGACGTAATTTGGCCCAGACGTCTAGCACGGGCTTCAAACTAGTTTGTGCGCCCCTTTTGCTACCTGGATCCGATTCTTGGGATGAGTCTTATCTCCTTCCACCTCTTCTTCTCCATGGCCTTCAAATCGCCTCCTGTGTAAGCAAAAGAAGATCTTGATGCAAAAAGAGCTGTTGATCCCCGCTGTAACACCTACCGAGAGCTGCCGCTCGCCGTTGACATGAGCAGAGAGTAGGTTTCCTTACGATTATTCTTATGTCACTTTTTTGTTGATTTTTTGCCCATTCAAGGTTTCCCACTAATGGACCAGTTTAACCAATGTGATATTGTAGTCATGATGGGCCTGGAAAATGTTTTAACATTGATCTTATTTTCTCATCTTATACATGCTTGTAAATATTGTAAATAAATATCCACTTCCATAAATCACATATGATCAGGACGTTGTCCTTTGAGATCCATGCAGATATATGCGTTAACGATATTCCTTTTTTGAAGCAAGAATGATCCATGAATCATAGATCATAGAAAAATCCATACTAAAATGAGTCTGAATTTTAAAAATATTTTTGAAAATTAAGAAACCCTCTTGTCTTAAAACATACAAATTAAGAGTTTTTTTAAATTTATTTTTTAAGAATATGGGAATTGGATTTCTGACTACTTATGTAGTTAAATGTCTAGAAAATTAACTAATCTGCAAGGAAAATGATCATGGAAATCAAACAAGGGTAATTGAAATTTAATGATAGAAAGTGGGGATAGTAAACTGAAAAATTGATAGGGCTGAGAAAGATGGCAACCCAATATTTTGTAAAATAGTCCTATGTTACTAGATAAAATGAGTATGAAGTTCTTCTGAGTTTGATGTCTAATATGATGCTAAAGTTTGGGTTTTGTTTCTCATTTCTCCACATCCCATTTTCTAATAATCTTATCATAAGATATAAAGATTTCAGCATACAAGTGATGGGGTATATTAGGGCGGTCCCTATATTATTTGATGCAGAAGTAAAGTCAAGGTCAAACATATCTACTACGACTAATTTCCATTTAATATACCCTTAGTATTCAGATTACCATTTAAATATTCGTGTTGGTTGGTTATCAACTTTTTCACCATACATTAATAAATTTATCAACGTTTATTAATAAATAATGAAGGTCAAAATGAATATCCGCCTAATGGATTTACCATCTTGCTTGTTACACACCAGTCAATGTAGATTAGACTTGGTCTAAACCTTTAGTATATGCAAAGGCGCAATCGTTTATCTACTTTAATCCTGAATTTATGAGGAAAACAGACAAGTTCTTGAAAACTTGATGGACCTTTCTGAAACCCAACCTGCACTCATAGCCTCGCGCATCCGCGTGGGGATGATCGGGAGCGTAGCGTTGGAACTACCAGGCACAATCGCACTTAAACAGGCCGGACGGCCAACCGTAAGAACGCGACAGGTCATATGCTTGCATGTGCGCCGCTATCGAGGCTTGTCTTAAATTGTACTTTAGACCTCGCGAGTCGAGTCATCGTGGGTCGGTGGGTCAAACTTTCCAGAGCGTTGGCTAGGGTATATGATGATCAAGAGAGATTGGCACAAATATATAAATATTACACAGATACAAAGAGAGACACACAGAGAGCGAGAGAGAGAGAGATAGAGAGAGAGGGGAGTTCTTGCCCGAAAAGCAGAAACAGCATATCGAAGTGCGCGAAACAGTGATGGAAGATTTAAAAATAGCGGTGGAAGGGTGTCTGTGACTCATATCCATGTGGGTCTGTCTGTGAGGAAACAAGGAGAAAATTGTGGTGAGAAAGTCGCACATGGGGACCTGACAACATTGGCATCTTCTCCTACCTCCAGATCTCGTTCAGACCGGCGTCTTTCTCGGGCGGACTTTCTTCTCGGCACCTCTCTTCTCCTCGAAGGTCGCCGTGAACTCCGCAGACGGCTCTGCATCAGTGTCGATGAGAATCTCAAAAGTGTCTATATAAGGAGATAGCCGCCCCTCACAACTGCCCATACCCCTTGCCGAAACCCCATCTCCCTCCCTCTTCCCACGGCGGAGGAAGGAAAGAAAGAGAGAGGGACGGTGATTGAAGCTCTCACCATGGCGGCGGGTCATCCTCGTTCATCCTGTTCATCACAACGGCTGCCGAAGCTCGCATTTCTGCTACTCGTCATGCTAGCTTTTTCCGGAATAGCAGAGGTGAGACACAAGCCATAAGCTACCCGTCTTCACGATCATCCCTGATTCACCATTTTTCTTTGACATGATCTTCTCCGAATCTTCCAGGCCCGTGGAAGAGGACGTTTCAGGCCATCAGGTACCTCCTGATTGAAGTAGAAGAAGGAAAACTAGTTCACGTTATTAAGCACTTTGTAAATTTGAGTTAGACGACATAATGTATTTAATTTAGACGTTGTAATTAAAGTCGGTAGTATTATTTTCTCCCCTTCGGTGCAGACTGCCGGCCAAGGTGTACGTATAGGTGCTCAGCAACGTCTCACAAGAAGCCTTGCATGTTCTTCTGCCTCAAATGCTGCGCGACGTGCCTCTGCGTGCCGCCCGGCATCTACGGTAATAAGCAGGTCTGCCCCTGCTACAACAGCTGGAAGACCAAGGAAGGCAGACCCAAGTGCCCTTAGAGCTCCATCCCCGCCTCCCCTCCCTCCCTCGCTCCCGAGAGAGAGAGAGAGAGAGAGAGAGGGAGAAGATTTTTGGAGATTTAATCGTAATGTGGACAACGGTAAAGATGCACTATTAATAACAAAAAATAATGAGAGTGGTTTTTTATTCTAGGGTAAGATATATCTATGTGTAAAACATTCGTCTACATCACTTGTTCTCGATCTATTTTTCGATTTGATGCCTTTGTATTTTTATTGCCTTTAGATTTTGGCTTGTACTATGAAAGCCTAGCTTTTATCAGCTATGTGACTTAGTGCTAGGAAAAATTTGCTGAGAATTTAATAGGACATATTAAGATAAGGATCTTGTGGTTAGTATAAACCAGTAAATCCCACTTATTGCCAATTTTTATTTAGTCATGATTTGTACACGACAAATGGAGTTAATATTTTTTTTCAAAAAGTTAATGTAAAATTATTAATTATTTATTCTAGGGTAAGGATCATTTAATTTTACATCCCTTTAAATAAATCAATTATTCATTGGGCATTCTCTTTTTTAACAATCTCGATAGGCATCCAAAAATTATTTAACACTTATTTCTGGTGTCCTGGTTATTTTTTTCTTAAACATGATGAACATACGTAAATACCTTTAAAATATGAAAGTACTCAATTACATGTAAATAAGGAAATGTGAGAAATGGTAACCATAGTATCTAATATATTTTCTATAATTAAAAACTAAGAGAAACCCACGGATGTAAACCTTGAAAGCCCTAATAAGGTAAAATAATTTAATGTTCTAATCACTCCATCCCTTAGGCCTCAAGATAATTCCATTATGTGAAATGTCAACAAAATGAGCCATGTATTTTTCCAGTTTAAAAGAATGAATTAATTGTTTATGATTGCCAGAAAAGGTTCCAACTTTTCAGTTTTCATATACCCATACCCATACGATTGGAGTCTATTTTTTCCAGAAAATATTGGAAAATTATAAATAATGTATTTATCATTGGAAACGTAAAATATGCATGATAGTAAATGAAGGATTAAAGCGTGTAGTGACTTTTGAATACCTTGGGATGTTATTAGATTGGCTATAACACTACTTTCAATAAACAACAAATAAACAAGCTCAAACCATTAGTCTTTAATCTTAATGATAGTTTTAAAATACTAGATTTTAATTAGCTATATGCATAGATCCATTTAATACCATTTTCCCAAAAACAAGAAATGAATCCGTGATAAATGGTCTTTTTGTTCTTATCTAGTTAATAAATGGTATGTGAAGTGAGAAAGCTGAAGTTTTCATTTTATTCCTTTCTCCAAACTTATTTCACAAATTCCTCAAGAAATTCGTCATTTTCATTATTTTTTAAAACATTCTCAAACGAATTTTATTAACTTAATAGTCTTAACAACTTGTTTTTACAATAAGTCAGAGGCCTTGGAATATCGATTCCACATTAGTGGAATGAAGAATGCATGAATCCCAACAATGGAGAAAGGACAGATCACTTGCTGATCTTTGATCCAACAAAACAATGGTAGAATTATTCCAAGTATTTCCACTGGAATAGCAATGTACATTTTTGATTTTCTATTCACTCATTGTTGGGCCTAACCTGGTCGAACATGATAGATTAATCCATAAAATATTTCTCCTCAATTTCAAAGTGGAAAGGATAAGTGATGCGTTATTTTTGTGGGAATTGGATGGTAAATTGAAGTAATAAATTGATCCAAGTATTTTTTGAGATCATAGATGCACCATCCAAAGAGGTTTGATGACACCTCGGACATGTCATATATAATAATTTCAAATTTAGTACAATTTTTTTTCTTATATTAAGATGAAAATACAAGGATATCAGAAATTCAAGGACTTTTAGAAGCACTAAAATAATACAAATGTTACAATTTTAATTAATTTTGAATTCTAGCTAGTCTAAATGCTTCAATGAAAATATAGCTTCTACGGTGATTTAGGATAAATTTACTGAAATTAGAAGTCACTAAACAATGATATAGATAAACTTAAGAAAATAATTTTCGTGCATAGATTATTTATGTACTCTATCTAGAAACATTTTGTGCAGGTATCTGGTGATTTGTTCCAAATGGCTTCATTTGTAAGCTGAGTTGTCTGGTGGCCACCCAACAAACTCAAAAATCCATATTGCGGTGATAACATCTTTCTTACTCTCATGACCCCTTTTGTTAATGTATCTCCCTCCCTCCCTCTCTATGTCATCTGTATGTTTCTCTCTCTTTCTTGAAGGCCTGCATATAGTTTAGTTGAAATGCTTTAACTCAAGATTTACTATAACTATCCCTGGAAAAGGATTTATATCATATATATAACTGTGATAATATTCAATCATACTTATTGAATAATGAGTTAGAACATATTAACGTTTTTTTATTTTTTTTGTATTTCAATTAGAACTGAAAATGACTCATTGGACAAAACTGACCGAGCGAACAGAATGGGCCGAGCCCGGGCCATGGGTGACGGTCCATAGCCCGGAATTCTGAGTCAACTTTACGGAACATCAAATTCGCGTTACTTCAGATATGAAAGAAAAGTTATTTAAGTAATTTTATACCCATCTTCGTCCGTTTCCTATCATTCTGTGTCCAATCGCTTGACTGGGCTCCGTCAGAGGGTACCGTCGACTCTTCCGGGTCGTCTTGTTCCCCCGGCACATTTCGAATCTCCTGAGAACCCTTCGTCTTAGCCGGCGAAAGGGGTTGCACTTTCCGCTACTCTGCGGGTTTTTGTGGCGAGCAGGCGGAGAGAAACGACTTTGTTGCCCTCCTGCAGACAGGTTTCCAAGGATGTCTTCTGGGTACTTCCCTTCACTATTACCTGCCCCCTCTCAATCTTCCTCTCTCTCGCTCTATTTCGTGTCCGATTTCTGGTTGTCAAGAGAGGAAAATATCGACCCGTGCCTCTGTTTCTTTGGATTATTCGAGATTTTATGAGTTCTTGTGAGGTGGGGAGGCCAGGAAAGGGCAAACTTTCATTCGTCTAGTCTCATCGGTGCTGGATTTTTCATTTTTGTTGTATATAGTTTGCGAAACCTTGAATATCTGAATAATGCGACACCAAAAGAAACAGTGGAAATTGCGTTCCGGTGAGGAAAAATCACCATCCCCGTTTCTAAAGTCGTCTTTTTTTTTTTGGCAATCACATATTTAAAACAAAAATGTTAAGTCTCTTTCAACGCGCATAAGCCCATTGTAAAAATAATGAAACACGGACAAAAATTACAGTCGTCACCGCTTGTAGTTCGTTCAACCCATTTCTGAGGTCCACGATCCGTTTTAACTGTCCATGAAGTGAAATTTGTAAGCATTTTTTTGTACTAGTTCTCGTTCGTGCGTGTAAAATTAGCCTGTCTTGATCTACTCTTTACTAATTAGATATGGTTTCATCGTGTTGGGACAAAGTTCCGATATTTATGCATTTTTACTTCATCTGAGGACCAAATTTGATTATTTCTTATCAACTCTTTCAGACCATCGTGGCTGATTGATAGCCAGAGAATTGCTACAAAGATTAAGAGCGCGTCTGAAGCATCTGATCTCAGAAGAATAGTGTGGAAAAGCAACCCAACCAGAGCATGTCCAAACTGCAATCATGTTATTGATAACAGTGACGTATGGTTTGCTCGCGAGAATTTTCATTTAGTCACAATAAGCAGATTACTTTCGTATAGGAGTATGCTGATTGTCTCGAATACTAAATAGTGCCAAGGATCTCAGTTCATCTCCTAAACGAATGCTCAGAGTGCTGGATTTTTTTTTTAAATTTGAAGGGGCATTACTAGGAAATCTATTCACCGTCTGTACCTTTTAAACAGTTTTTTTCTTTATTCATATTTCTTTAATCGTCTGATTAGCACCTTGGTGGGTTCCATTCTGTTTTATTTTTCTTGAAAAAGGCTTCTTCACCTAGACCCCCCCCCCCCTCCCCCCCTTCTTTAGAATGACAATTTCTCTTTCTAGCTTGGCCTGGCATGGTGCTTCATCATCTAGCTCGCAGTTTCTCTGTCTACAGTCTCATCTATCTACAGTCTCATCTTGTTTTCCCATGAATAAGAGGAGGAAGAAAACTCTCGAAATCACGATAAAACAGAAGGAAATTAGTTTAACGGGATAGTGTTCTTCAAACTTCATGAATTCAGATCCCGTTCAATGAATCGAAATGAAAGTCATTTCTAAGGCATCACTTGAGATTGTGGTATAATTTGTCATTTTGTTTTCCTGTGAATAAGAGTAGGAAGAAGGAAAAACTTGAAGTCATGATAAAACGGAGGCAAATTAGTTGAGCAGGATAATGTTCTTCAAGCATCTTGAATTCGTATTCTGTTTAATGCATCGTAATGAACATCAGTTCTAAGGCATCATTTATGTAATAAATTCTCCAGCTTGATAATATTCGAGGACCCTCCTTTGTTCACAGGTTGTCAAAGAGTGGCCAGGATTGCCCAGAGGAGTGAAGTTTGATCCGTCCGATCAGGAGCTTCTCTGGCATTTGCTTGCTAAAGTTGGGAAGGGGGATCCAAAGCCCCACCCCTTCATTGATGAGTTTATCCCAACCCTCGAAGAAGATGATGGGATCTGCTACACTCATCCGCAGAAGCTACCAGGTCATTACACGGACGAATAACCCACCATTTCCCCTCCCTTTTATCTTCTTTCTCCTGTACTCTGTATGAAACAGTGAGGTGCCCCTTTCAGGAGTGAAGAAAGACGGAAGTGTCTCCCACTTCTTCCACAGGACATTCAAGGCATATAACACCGGGACTAGGAAGCGTCGGAAGATCCAGGGTGACGACCTTGGGGACGTCCGCTGGCATAAGACCGGCAAAACAAAGCCCGTCATGGTGGATGGAGCCCACCTGGGATGTAAGAAGATCATGGTCTTGTACATGAGTCCAGTGAAGGGTGAAAAGCCCGAGAAGACAGGCTGGGTCATGCACCAGTATCACCTTGGGATTGACGAGGACGAGAAGGACGGAGAGCTTGTCGTCTCAAAGCTATTCTATCAGCAGCAGTCCAAGCCAAATGAGAGGAATGAAGCAGGGCTGCCCGCTGACCTGTTAGAAGGACCCAGAAAGGATGCTGAACCTATCCCCTGCCCCAAGTCTGCGACCCCCGATCCCCCTGCTGAGAAGCGATGTCGTGATCCCGGTTCTATGCATTCACCAGCCCAAGTAACTCCCCTTTTCTGCTGACTTCAGCTTCTTGCTCACTCTTATAATTATTTTGCTGCATAAATGTGAAAACTATATCGAACACTAGCCTCCCACCTAACCCAGGAAGGCTGGGTCATGACCCATCTGCCCTCTGTATTGTCATTTTAGATTCCTGCTTAATTGAATTCTGGGTTCTTCAATGCAGGTGACAGCAAATGATGAGGTGACGTTGACTGTTAAAGATTGTGTCCAGCCTGACTGTGAAGAGATTGATGATCATGGTAGCCTAGCCATGGTTGAAGAGAAGAATGGGACTGAGAAGGGAGACATGGAAAAAGCAGATCGATCTGATGGTGGGAAGATCAATCATCAAGAGGATGATGCCACTGTGGAGGATCCAAAATGGTGGGATGGCGAGTCTCAGTTTCTCTTGGACTCTCAGCAGCTGGCTGAAGGCATGGCGTTGTGCGAGGAGTTCCTTCAGAGTCAGTCTTCATGTGAAGATGGCGTAGCAAAATCGAGCAAGCCCTGCCTAGCCGACTACGCCAAGATAGGTGTCGAGAATCTTAAGAAGGATCTTGAGGAGTGCCAGAAGATCAGTGGTTTGGATCTTGCCAACGTTGACCTCGACACACCTCCTGACGTGAGATTGAGTCAACTTGTAAGCTCTGATAGCTTTCCGCCGGTTCTAACAATCTGCTCTTGCTGATCTCTGGATGAACAAAATTTCTTTTGTCGGTATTTGCAGGAGTTCGGATCTCAGGACAGCTTCCTTGCTTGGGGGGACCCCAAAGTTGCTGACTAAGGAGATGAGGTGATCGAGCTCCCTGGCCGAGGAAGCCTTTTGTAACTTTTGCTTTGCTGTGTAGGAGCCAATAGGGGTTCAGAACTTCCGCATTCTCTCTCTCTCTCTCTCTCTCTCGCTCGCTCGCTCTCACTCCCTCCTGTGCTACATAGAACATACCATGCATGCCCCGTGCACGCTTCCCATCTGGGCCATGCTTTTTGATGTATAGAGCCTTTTAATGTATCCTCAGCAGTGCATGATGGGCTTTTTGATAATCCCGAACACTCTGCTGTGGACAGGGTTTTGCTTCTGGGTCGGAATGCCTGAAGCCCCCTCTGGTTCTCTTGTGAGAGGAGGCCCAGTTAAGGGTTCATCCGACTGCTTTCCGTGGAAATTTTAGAGGTTCCCAACGGAGTGCTCAAACGACGTGGAAATCTTATTATCGTTCATCATATTTTTTGATTACTAAGATTAGACGAAAATATACATTTTGAAATATGGAGAATTCGGACCACCCATTTTTAAATCATTCTCGCAAACCAACGAGGAGGATTATTTATTTATTTTCTCGCCCGCACAAACTTATGCGATTATTGGAACACTGCATACAAAGGTGGAAGGTGACTACGGGGAGACAACCACCGGGATGGAGAGGGACGCCGCCAGCGCCGCCTTGGAGGAGCCGGCGGCAAGGGGGAAGAAGAAAGGATAGATCTCGTAGCGCACGTAGCAGCTGCTGTAGAGCGCTCGGCATCCGTTCCTGTGCGGGCAAAAGCCGGGGAAGTTGGCCACCGCTGTGGAGACGCACTGGGAGCAGTCCAGCGGCGACAGGTCCCTCGTGCACTGCGCTAGCGCGTAGATGGTGACGAAGGGTGTGAACTTGGTCTGCAGCTTCGCCAGCCCCAGGCTGCCCCGCGCCGCTGCCCGCCCGCGTACCTTGCTCATCAGCGACCCTAGCTCCCGGTCGAACCTGCGCTGCTCCGCTGCGTTCTCCGAAATGTTCGTCATGCTAATGTAGAAGACGCCATAGCCGGTGTCGAGCTGGCCCGTGAAAGGTCTGGTGTCGTAGCGCAGGAAGCAGTAGTCGAACCACACCCTGGCGTCGGCCTGACCAGGGCAGAGCTTTGGCAACTGCGCCGCCGCGTCCTTGAGGCACGCTTTGCAGTCGGCTGCTCTCACGTCCTGTCGACACTGGGCGAGGCCGTACGCCTTGTTGGTGTTTCCGCTACCAGAAGAGGTGGCGTAGAAGCCATTGGAGGGGGTCTTCGACAGGAGAGTGAGTAACACTCGGGCTATGTTCGAGGCAGCGAGTCGGGTGGTGCTCCTGTCGGTGCTGCAGTAGTGTGCGAGGGAGTCTGCAGCCTCGCATTGTGGGTGAGGATGGAGGAATAAGAGGAAGAGAAGGGGGAGGAGGGAAGACGCCGGCGGAGGCATGACTTGATTCTATGCTCTGCACTGTTGTTGGGTGAGTTGGTGAGCCTCGACAATGGCTACGGTTGTATATGTAGTGGTGGTGTACCCAACTTTGTGGACTTCCCGCTCACCGCTCACCCAGGCCAGAATACTGCCAGTACAACGCGTCGAGCAAAATTTAATCACCGGCAGATGTCTGTGGGTGCTGCCCAGAATAAGGAATAGCCATTAAATCCAGAGGTGGCCAAGGGGTGATCATTTGACTGTCTCATTCGAGTTGACCTCCCGCATTCGGCCAGTTGTCCACCACGTACCAGTTGACCGGCGAGTTTTGGTACCTTCCGTGGGCGGAGAGGTCTCAATTGGCTAAGGAGCCTCAAAATATCCAGCTTCGACATGACCTTTATTCTTTTCTCAAGTTTGTTGGGAACAAAATATTCGGCGGTTTCCGAACTTGTGCTCGAAAATTGTCAGAAATCAGGTTACAAATGTGCATCGGAGTGAGGAGAATAGCAGACTCTTAAGTTCGTGTTCTTTGGATTTTCGCAGGTAAGGCATCAAAAGTGTCCACACCTGACCTCGACACTCGTCCGGCTGTACGCCACTCTTTATACGATTTAAATTTTGGAAAAATAAAGAGAATGTTGATGGGGACCCCGGAAATTTCGAAGCCGCTGAACCAAGTGCGACCTCCGCCGATGATCAGCCAAAGACGATAAGCTCAAACCGGACGCCGCAGTCAACTCGCCCACCCCAACTTCCCCGCTCACAGACACCTTCGTTCTTTATCAGGCTTTGCGGAGTATTGCCGCCGGTTCTCTGCCCAGGAGTGGATAACATGGCGGCGGCGGTGGGGGCTGGCAAACATTCTAAACTCCCTCTCTCCATAGAAGTCAACAAAAGCGGCCAATCCACTCGGATGTATGAGTCGTTCGGTCGTGGTTGAGTGTCATCATGTTGTGCAACCTAATGTAGCTTTTAAAAGGATAGGAGCGACCGAAGATCGTGCAAGTTTTTATCCACAATAATTTTTTCCAACAATTGATGTGATTAAGGGAAGTTCTGATATTATTTCTACTTTAAGTCTTAACTAGATGACTAATTAATATTTCGAACCGAGTAATAGAAAAATTAATATAGAGCTAAAATTAATTAACATTAAGATTCATGGGAAAACAAACTCACACTGGGAAGTTCAAAATTGTTTTCGAGAAATATTGGCATTCGAGGAATCAAAGAAAGCAGTCACGAGATAGAAGGCTTCAAGTTTGAGGAAACCCTGGGTCAAGATGGAGACAACAATATTAAGACTGTTCTAAAAGAATGTCACAAATAGAGACCTTGAAAGACCTCAAGAAGTGCGATTAAGTAAACCTGTGACACACTTCGATGGTTTTTCCTATGATAATTACGTTTATACTATGCTCATTTTATCTCTTCCATGCATCAATAAGGAATCTCAGGACAACATCTAACCTTAAGCGTACTTAAAAAATGATGGGGGTGATCGGGCACTTGGTCAACCAAGGTTTCTCTCTCTCACACACACATTCACTCATCCAAACGCTCGTCTATCATTAGAAACGGATTTCGCGATTAATTTCTAGTCAGACTTAATTACAGTCAGTCGAGGGCCAGACCTTAATGGTGCTGAATCCGGAAGTCCAGAGCGTATTTTCCACGCTTTTCTTTGAGCCTATGACCTCAACAATTCGGTCGTCCTAACTAAAGAGAACTCCTTCAAAGTTTTAGAGGAACGATCATAATAATCAATTGATTTGTCGGAATCTTCCAAATGACTAGCACAATTATGAAAAAGAACTTTGCAAGCGATGAGTTATGCAAAAAATAACAAACGCGAAATGGAATTGGAAACTTAAAGATCAAGCACTCGGAAGAAAAAATCTCTCTCTCTCTCTCTCTCTCTCTCTCGCTCGCTCTCTTTCTCTCTCTCTCTAAGATCCATTCATATAAGTACAACAGTTCTGGAATTTCCCCACCAACTTTTGAAGTTTCACTCCTAAGGTTGATTCTGTTCACTTTTTTGTGAGCTTAAGACTTCAAAGTGAAGAATAAATTACTGAAAATGCCCTCATTAGGCTTCGTGTTGGGTTTGCCTTGTTCATTTTGGCATCCCTACCTAGAGTGATCTTGTTATATGCTTTTGAGGAAGATTATAATACTCAGATTTATAATTACTTGATTTTTATCATTATAAATAACTTGAGGTATGCATTTGCCCATTTGATTCTCAAGTCATCTTCCAGATCTCGGCAAAGTATACACTTGTCGTTTCTTAAACCACTTAAAGTATGCTAGAGATAACCCAGCTTACTCTAATTAAGGTCATTTAAGAAAAAGACCAACTTACATTTGGTAAAATTGGCATGTTATGATATCTATGCCACATAAATACCAGAAATTTCTTGCCTCCCTTTTTGCCATCCCAGGTCTTTAAAGAAAAGTAAACATAATTATTTTCTATACGTTTTCAAGCCAACATAAATAAAACTAACGGACAAAATAAGAAGAGATGGATATTTTTTTATGACCCCAGGGTCAGGTTTAAAAAATGTGGACCCATCCGTAATTTATGTGCTGTTGGGACGAGGTGGAAGTTAATGCCCCAAGGTTTCTTATGGTCGTCCCGTAAATTACAAAGAATGAAATGGAAATTGGGCCCCTTAACGTGTTTGCAAAATTAAATTATATGCAAGGAAAATTCAGTTTACTACTCTGAATGTACACGTATATAGACAAATAGAGAGAAAGATATGGGAGTTCAGACGAGATGGGTTGTCGCGTGTATTATCATGACAAACAAAAAAGAAATGTAAAATTTCTAGCATAGAATATAAACCCTGACGTAAGACCCAACCCAGTCCATTATTTTTTTTCCAATTAAGATTGAAAAGAGTAGAAGGGCTTGGGGGAGGCGGAAGCTTTGAAGCCCCCAAAGCTCAGCAGATTCCTGGGTCAACTCACCGCCCGCACCAATATTTTTTTTTCCTGCTTGTCCCGAATGAACCGCTATCCATCTTGTATATCATTCTCCCTACGCAATACATCTATCCGCCCAGTCAAACTAGGCTCGACGCGGAGAATTGGCGATGCGCTGTCCCCACAGAGAATTGAACACAGCACTTCTATGCACTACCAACTCTCCTCTCCGGGGAAGTCAACAAAAGAGGCAATCCCACCTATATATACACCTCGGCCGTGATCGGGATTTACCAACAGCGTGGCCAACAGCTGTAGCGAGTCCATTGTCAAAGTGGAACGCCATGCCTTCGCCGCCCACAACCCTCCTCCCTCTCCTCTTATTCCTCTTATTCCTCCTTCCTTACCCATGGTCCGACGCCGCAGAACCCCTCACAGACTACTGCAGCATCAACAGGAAGGCCTCCCCGGCGGCCAAGACGAATATAGCGCGCGTGCTCACCTCCCTCCAGTCCAAGGCACCTTCGAAGGGATTCGCCACCGCCTCGTACGGTGGCGGCAACGGGGACCGAGCGTACGGCCTCGCCCAGTGTCGGCCGGACATTAGTCTCGTGGACTGTCGTGCTTGTCTCAAGGAAGCTCCCGCACGTCTCAACAAGCGTTGCCGCGGCAAGGCTGAAGCCTGGGTATGGTTCGACCACTGCTTCTTGCGCTATGACACGAGGGCCTTCCTGGGGAAGGTCGACACCGACTACGGCGCCTACAACCTCACCGAGGATTACGTGAATATAGACCCGGCGGAGCAGCAGAGGTTTGACAGGGAGCTGGGGTCCCTGATAGACAGAATTCGGGCACAGGCTGCATCACGGCTCCGCCTTGGGCTTGGGAAGGGTCAGACCAAGTTCACCCCCGACGTGACAATCTATGCGCTGGCGCAATGTACGCGTGACCTGCCGTCGAAAGCGTGCTCCGAGTGCATCTCCTTCGCGTTTAAATATTTTCCCGACATATGTCCCCACAGGAAAGGATGCCAAGCTCTCTACAGAAGCTGCTACGTCCGCTACGAAACCCGTCCTTTCTTCTCCCCCTAGACGCTTTCTCCTCCATTTCGGAGCTAGCGGTGTTGCCTCCGCTTAATGGTGGTCTCTCCGTAGTCCCCCCACTGCGCCAATCACATGGTCTCTCCATTTCTTCTCCCCCTCACTCCGCATGTCTGTACAATAACATCAATTACATGACCTTGTGAATGAATAAATTTGTGTCAATGGCTTTCGATGAGTAGAACTTCTGAACGGATTAGTTAGTTTTTGCTGCGTAACTCCAATTCGGATTTGTCTGCTTTTAGTTCCCGCGAACCAAACGGCGCTTCTTATTTGTCGTTCGTCACAATCGAATGAATAAAATAGATAATTTGATGGTAATTATAATCGGAAAATAAGAATATACGCGTCAGAGGAGGAATGAGATCTGAAGGTTTGTTGATATCGGCAATGGTTCAAACATACGCGTCAGTTCAGATGTCAGCCCAACAAGCGGCTCAAATAGTATCTAGTGGAATGACGAAAGCAGAGTAGTTCGGATATCACTGATGTTGACGGGGATCGATATCTGAGGGTAAGCTTCAGTCAACTTGTATTCTCAAATAGCATTGTCTTGAGATCCTCGCTTGCACCGACCTAATCAATCCCCCAATACTTAGTTATGTATGAAAAATTTAATAAACCGGTTAAGTCATAGGTTATCTGAACCAGAAATCCGAGGATGGACAATGCCCTCACATAGTCATCAACTGGAAAATATTCTACTTTTGAAGTTTCTTGGCCGTTCATTGAGCTAGATACATCATTATACATATTTGGTCCTACGTTTCATTTGACTCATCCTATTTGTGCTTAGTCTTCAAATTGAAGGACAATGAAATTCCTAATTAAGTTGTAAACAAGGCTAATGCCCATCGCCGTGGGAACCTAGGTCTAAATCCGTGGGAATGGCACAGAGCCTTTTACGTCGCGGGTTTGAAGCTAGGAGGCTAATTATCATTAGCGTATTATCATCTTCGTCCAGCCACAACTAGAATTGAAAGAGCGAACCCGTCTAACAATTCTCGAATGTATCCAAATATTTTTCAACGAGGTGCCATTTTGACAAGCTGTGAGGAACGTAAAGAGATCGGTAACTCGGAGTCGTTTTTTGTTACTATTATTCGAGTTTAGAATGCTTTTAAAAATCAGTCGATCGAAAAAGACGAACCGGATATCTGTAGACAGCTGTCATCCGATCGAGTTGTTTTTTTCCGCACCATGTATGTATGTTTCGTAGAAAATCAGCATCAGCACAGGCTGCATTTAGTCATCAAGTCTTGGAAATTTACCATGGATTAAAATTTAACAAGTATGACGGAATCAGTTGGTTAGCAACCAAGTCTAAATATGCATATTCATATTTTCCCGAGAAACATTGAAATCAATGGAAGGTACAGGAGGAGGAGAACAGTCAACGCGTACTTGCGTACCTTCCAATGCGTAACAGCTGTTTAACGCGTACAACGCAGTCAACTGACCACCCACCGGATAAGCTGTTGACCGCTATGTACCTCATTGCCGATGGCGCACATAGACATCGGCCTTTTTCGCCAAGCTTAAATTGACGCGGAGAACCTCCGGTGCACTACCCCAGGAGGAGAGCAGGCGGCGGCTTCGGCTTGCAATTCTTAACCTATCTCCCCTGCGCCGAAGTCGAGAAAAGGGAGAACCTCCCCAGAAATTATATCCATATAATACAAATCTGCCGTCTTCGGGAGTTGTCGATAACGTGCCCGATAGACGTGGAGATTATAGTATCTTACACATGTATGCAGTCGCTGGAGACGCCCTTCCTTCCCCTTCTAGACCTCCTATGTCTCCTTATCCATTCCACCGACTCCCTGGCACGCTACTTCAGCACCAGCAGAAGCATCACCCTGGCCGCCCCCACGAAGATAGGTGACGTTCTAGACTCCCTCTATGGCACACTGTCCAACGTCAACAAAACATATGGCTGTATTAATCTCTGGGTCTCAATTGTCCTCTCTGGATGCCAATTAAAACACAAGCAAAAATACAAAAGAAAAGAGAAGGGGGTAGAAAAATATGATGGCCATATGACTTGAAATAACACTCATACGTCCACGTCTGGAGCTACAGATGTCACAGTCTAGAAAAGACACTACACAGGAAAATAGAACCCGACACATATCAAATCGACCATTTCTTCAAGCCAAGGATTTCAGTCTCAGTCTTATCTACCAACGATGCCACCCAAAAAATCTTCTGGTTTTTAAAATGTCTCACCCAGGATCTTCACAAGCAAAAAGTTAGAGTAAAATTTGAACATAACATTAGTCAACTTATGTGATCTAGCAAGTTTCTATCCCACAGTTCCTAATCGATATTTGAGCAAAATTTATCTACGACCTTACTTCAAAATATCCAATCTTCTAATAGTTTTAGGCTCGGGAATATATTAAAGCTTAATATATTATGATTAAAACAACCGAGTGGATGCTTTTAACAACTCTCTCTCTCTCTCTCTCTCCCCTCCTCTGTGCCTCCTCGTTCATCTCATCCTCCCACATTCTTTCCTTCGTATAAAAGGCCTCACATATTATGTACTTACTTTCAATCACATGCCGTATGCACAAGCCATTTAAATGTTCCAGTAACAAATTTTTACATCTCTTTCGAAGGTTATTCCCACGTACTAAGTGTTGGCGGTCTGGAAAGTGTAAGCCCTAGTTATTCTCGTCTTTTTCATGCTACGGGGGTTGCTAAGGTACAGTATTTGATATTATATATTCCTTTTCAAGCTTTTCTATGTCCGCACCTGTAAGGTTTGGTGGAATGAATTAAAACCTATTAGATCAACTTTGATTACCTTAAATAAAATTAAAATTCTGATCTTTGAAACAGTGATCTTTCCCGGAATTATAAGAGATTCAACGGTAACAATGATACATGTACCGATTGGATTCAAAGTATACCGCAGACCACACTAGTTAGAGGTTCAATGGCCCGAAATGCAGTCGGGTCATTGCTATGCCGAAAATGAAGCCTGTGAGTTCCTACAAGGTCCCCATCCGCTGTTGTCTTTGATAAAAGTCTTGGATTTGGGCGTCGGGCTGAACGCATAAATGCCCGGCAAAACTAGATGGACGACTCTAGCCCACCGGATACAACTCTATAGTCAAATACAAGAGGATAATGATAAACACGCCCCTCGCGTCCCAAAGAAAACAAATTCTAGACTTCCCTGTTAAACCTTTCACATGAAGATTGCATAATTTTTAAAATAGTGCGGGAGAATGCGGCGCCGGAATCTATGAACTTATCAACCATCCTCGGGGGAGATGGGTCTGACTTCCGCCATCGGAAGCAAGCTAGATCCTATCTCGCCGCCCTTCTCATACAAAACCTAGCTAACTCATGCTATTTCCTTTGTGAAGATTGAACGGCTGATCGTAACCAGTATTATCTATTGTACCTGTAATTATCTAGATCATGGGTTAACAAACAGCGATCGTGCTCATCCCTGAAGGGAATCCGTCATTGAAAGTCATATCCACCGATGGATACGTGTACACATATGTACATATATGTATGTACAGAGAGAAGGAGGGGGGAGAGAGAGAGAGAGAGAGAGATCGTCTCCAACACATTGTGTATACCCTCTTCCAGTGTCTACGGTGAGTCCGAGGCGCACACAGATATCTTTCATACTAATGGAGCTTTTTTATACGCGTGGTATTGCCATTGGACTGCCATGGGAAGAGACTACGGCGGCGGCTTGGTAGCCCACTCAACTCCTGCTCGCCACTGAAGTCAACAAAGGCGGCGACACATCCGCTATATATATATCATCGGCCGTGATCCGGAGTACTCAACAAGGTGACCATCAGCAGTAGAGAGCAGATAACAAAAGAGGAAAGCCATGACTTCGCCGCCGGCTCCTGTCCTCTCCCTCTTCCTTCTATTCTTGCTCATCGCTTACCCTTTGTGCCACGCCGCAGCCCCGCTCACAGAATACTGCAGCTACGACAAGAAGGCCTCGTCGGCGGCCAAGGCGAACATCGCCCGCGTTCTGGCCACCCTCCAGTCGAATGCTCCCTCCAACGGGTTCTACACTGCATCCTACGGGACCGGCAGCGTGGACCGAGCATACGGCCTTGCCCAGTGTCGACAGGATGTCAGTGTCGAGGACTGTAGAATCTGCCTCCGGGATGCTCCGCCGCAGCTATCCAAGCGCTGCAAGGGCCAGGCCGAAGCCTGGATGTGGTTCGACTACTGCTTCGTGCGCTACGACACGACGCCGTTCACTGGGAAGTTCGACTCTGGCTACGGCGTCTACGACTATAGCGAGTATAACGTGACGGAGAATGTGGTGGAGCAGCGGAGGTTCGACCGGGAGCTTCGGTCGCTGCTGGGCAAAGTGAAGACGCAGGCTGCGGCACGGGGCAACCTCGGCCTGGGGAGGGATCAGACCAAGTTCTCCTCCGCAGTGACGATCTACGCGCTGGCGCAATGCACACGCGACCTACCATCGCAGGCGTGCTCCAAGTGCCTCTCCACCGAAATCGGTTACTTTGCCCAATTCTGCCCCCAGAGGAAGGCATGCCGAGGGCTCACCAGTGGATGCTACCTTCGCTACGAGATCTATCCTTTCTTCTTCCCCCTATCCCCCGGCTCTCCCAAGGCGTCTCTGGCAGCAGAGCCCTTGGTCTCCAAGGTGGTCTCCCCCTAGTTGTCCATCTATGCCATGTTTGCACCATCGCAACAATCACCCAAATGTATGCATGAATAAGTTGGCGATTGGCTTGTCAATGGATTCTCTAGATTTGCTTAAAGAACTCGTATTCTGATTGTGTTGCTTTTCAGCTATCTCAAATGACGCGACGTTTAACAGTAGTCAATACTTCCTTTCATTGAATGATTAGTGGCATTTCGACGTGGGGCGAGGATCAAAACAAGTGCGTCGCTTTTTAAATCAACCGCACAATCGCTTTCAATCTCATCTGGAAGAATATGCAGGGCAGTTCGGATCTCGCCGACGTTGATCTTGACAGGCCGCTACGTATGAGACAAAGTCAATTTGCATATTATAGGTCCTTTGTCATTTTCAAGCTGCCACCTGTTTACTCGATCGCCCTGTTCTGACGCCTGTACAAATAAATTTAATGTGGCGGTCTCAGAATTGTTCCTGTCATTGAGTCTGTCAGCCGGGTCTAACTTTTTGTCGCCCATAAGAACTAGTGCGCTCTAGCATGGCGACCGATCGGGAAGATAGAGAGTTCCTTTTGCAAGTTAGGTGGATCTCTCATTCAACGAAGAAGGCCTCTTCATTGTCGTTGAAAGGCACGTAATTATCAAGAATGAGAATCTGTTCTATCATAGATATTCTTCCTGTGGCTATGCTGAGTGGAGGACGGGCACTGACAGCTTCGAATTTTTACAAAGGATGAAGCCGACGAGGCTGTTTGTCGTAAAGTTGAGAACTTTATATATCCCATCGTGAATGAATTCCGAAGTAAACATCGTAATCGTACAAACGGTTGTAAGTTCACGGATGGCCGACTAAATTAAAAATTAAAATACAATGGTATTATCTGCAAGAGAGAAAAACCAGAGGATAAATCGTCTCCTATGTATCTCAAGAGTATTACGGCTCTCTTCTCTCTCTCGCTCGCTCTCTCGCTTGCATCCTTTTGAATGCGTATAAAACGAAGCTTCCAAAGCTCGTAATATCTTTTCTGTCATTCTCTTTGCATAGACCGTTTGCATGTTTATGGTCCTGTTTAACAGTATTAAATATTTTGAAGTTTGTCGCGAGTTCTTGAAGTCAGGGATGCCAGTGAATTTGTCAGTCTAATGTCCAACCTTGGAAAGTTCTTCTTTTCGAGTGCTTGAAGGTTTGGATTGAGAGAGTCATCAATATCCCCAAGATTTGTTTCCATAAGGAAAATATTGATGTTTTCATTGGAATATTAAGCAAGTAGAGTCATAAAGGTTCTATTGGTACCAACCGGGTAAAAGGCCTGCCGTAGCCTAGCTCGGTCAACGGTTTAGTAAACCCTTCTACAATTTGCTCGTACAAAGCTAAGATTAAGGACAGGAGTCTTTAGCGATGTCTAGATTCAGCCTGCGCCCCGACAAGAATCTAGGTATTGGGACTCAGCCTTAAAACCCATGAACCCACCCAAGTTCTGAACTAGATGGAGCGACGTTGCCCTCTGTGTACAACTATGCATATAGTCAATCAAACAAATGAAGATAGTGATAGTTACCCCTTAACCCTCGATATATAAATATGTATAGTCAAACAAATGAGGATAATGGTGGATACGGTTTGGACCTACCCCCGTATACAACTAAAAAACTACAGTGCATGAGGATAACGATAAACACGGCTGTCGCGTGCTGAGGGAATGCGGTACTTCTTCTCGCCGCTTGAATTTAAAAGGAAACGAGGATGCAGCGCTGGAAACTAGGGAAATTTTATGGACCAAGTTCTGGGGCGATATTAGTCTGACATCCGCCACCGGAAAGCCAAACGAAACCCATCTCGCCTCCCCCACCCACAAAGCAAATCCATGCCCTTACCATGAGTGGGGATGGAAGTATCCATAGAAAGGATTAGAGGGAGGAAGAGAGAGAGAGAGAGAGAGAGATCTTTTGTACTAGGGAAGCTTCACTTAACGCGTAGTAATGCTCTTCCTGTGAGCTTTCTCATCCCCCACCCAAGAGAAGTCAACGAAGGCGGCGACTCCAATATCCATAAATCCTAGACGGGGTGAGTTGTGAAAAGGTGGCCATCAGGGGTCGAGAGTAAGTAGCAAAACAGAAAGGACATGCATTCGCTGCCGTCTCCCGCCTTCTCTCTCTCCCTTCTCTTCCTCATCGCACTCCCATGGTGCCACGCCGCAGGGCCCCTCGCAGAATACTGCAACAGTTGGAGTGTCACTCCAGAGGCCTCCGAGATCATAGCCCGCTTGCTGGCTACCCTCCAATCCAAGGCTCCCTCGGGGGGATTCTACACTACCTCCGCTGGCAGAGTAAAAAACAGGGCATACGGTCTCGCCCAGTGTCGACAGGACGTGAGCGTCCCTGGTTGCAGAGCCTGCCTCAAGGACGCCGCGGTGCAGCTTCCAGAGCGCTGCCCCGCCGAGGCCGAAGCCTGGATGTGGTTCGACCACTGCTTGGTGCACTACGGAACGCGGCCCTTCCGCGGAGAGCTTGACATCAGCTACGGCGTCGTCGATTCGAACGAGACTAACGTGACGGAGAACGCGGTGGAGCAGCAGAGGTTCAACCGGGATCTGCGGTCGCTGATGGGCAAGGTGCGGGCGCAGGCTGCGGCACGGCGGAACCTCGGCCTAGGGAGGGGCCAGACTAAGTTTTCCCCCAACGTGACGATATACGCGCTGGCACAGTGCACACGAGACCTGCCGCCTCTGGCGTGCTCCAATTGCATCTCAAGCGCCAGTGGCGACTTTCCCGAATTCTGCCTGCACAAGAAAGCATGCCGAGCTCTCTACAGCGGCTGTTACGTCCGCTACGAGCTCTATCCTTTCTTCTTCCCCCTCGCTGTCGGCTCTTCCAGGGCGTCGGAGCCCTCCGTCTCCGTCGTAATCTCCCCATAGCCTTCCCACTACGCCATGCTTGCGCCACAATACCCATTTAGCAAAATTGTGACTAATTAAATTTGCGAATGATTTATCAGCGAATTAATTAATTTTTGCCACATCTTATTATGATTCTGGAAGCTGTCGGTTTTCTGAAACGCTTGATGTTTATTAGTAGTCATTACTTTGTCGCGATTGAGTGACTCAAAAGATGGCCATCGGTAATTCGACGACGATGGCGATGATCCAAATGGATGCGTAAATTTCATAGTTGTACGGAAGGAAAAGTTCCAATGGCATCTAAAGAATGACAGAAGCTTTGTAGTTTCAATCTCAACTTGGACTTACCTCTGAGAGTAAGACAACAAGTTGGCAATGATAGCTTTTAACTTGTAAATAAAATGCCGTTACTCTTTTATTTGCCGGAATTTTGATCTAGAGACGGCGTCCTAACGTGGCAGAAGACGAAGTTGCACAATGAGAAGATGGGCTGACCACGCATTGGGTTTACTACGCCTTGTAAGTTTTGTTTTGTTGTGTATCGTTCATGGGGACCAGTTTAATCTCTCTCTCTCTTCTCTATCGTTACTCTCTCTCTCTCTCTCTCGTAAAATAAAAGATAGAAGATGAAAAGAATGGAGAAAAGGATAATAAGAAAGGAGAGAGATAGAGAGGGATAATAGAAAAGAAGAATAGAAAATAAGCTTTTAAACATGATGAATTACAAAGGTATTAAGGATCTCTTTTTATACGAATCTTGGAGTCACCCAAAGATGAAATGAGTCATCCATTTCAGCGTGAAAGTGAAACAGTTCACAAAGAACCATTTGACCATTTCTCATGGACACAGCCAACTCATTTAGGTGAGAATCAATTCACATAAGTGTTGAGTTATAGATTAACTCTAGAGGAGAAAATATAATTTTGATGATTTTTTGACATTAATTTGATTATCTTAAAATTGATGATATTTGATGTGACTTTAATATATGATTGATGTGATAAATATATTAATGTTTAAATTGCTTAGATAATGATCTGCAGTCTGGATCGTATAACTTAAATTTTGTCATAGATATAACTCTTAGATGAATTAAAATAAGGACAATAAAAAATATGTGCAAGGTAAAGATGCAATCATCTCATATGTAGGTATTAATGTTTAAATTTTCAATATCAAATGACTTTAGCAATATAGGCATGTGAGTAATCAATAAATTTTTTTTTGAACAAGAAGTCATGATAAATACATTTAGGAGAGAATTATTAAAGAGTTGATTTGATATTGATTTTACAAGATTACTGATCTCATATATTTATGCAAGGCGAGAATGATTTACTAACATGACCTTTTATACTAAAGTAATTTTTATATCAGAAAACACATGATAAATATAAACGTGCAACATAAAATAGAAAGCTGATTCAAAGGAAAATTGAAGGCAGAAAATTGTTCCTAAATATTTGAAGTATCAAGAGAGTTATGAATTTTTCACTTTTTACGGTCACTATTTTCTCTATTTTTCAAGATCTGCATGTGGCCTATTAAGGCCCATTTTAGCTCAACCATTTGACCCAATAAGAGGAAAGAGGGGGCAGCCACCTTACTTATCAAAATATACTATTTTTTCCATATTAGAAGGACAGAGAAAGTACACGATTTTATGCGACGGTTACTACTCTAAATACAACTCTTATTTCCATTCATCTACCTTCAACTTTTCAAAGTTCAAGGACAAGATACATTGATTCAAAGAAGCTTCAAATGCCTCTCTAATAACTCAAAAGTTTTCTCCTTCAACCCAATATCCTCAAACATTCTTCAACACCTTCAACAATATAATAATTTAAGGCTACATTAACATCATTCCTCATTATATTTTGTGATTGTGAATTGTTGTGGTGTATGTGGACTAATTGAGATATGTGGTGTGTCGTCAATGTAGTCACACAATATATTGAAGAACTTATAATATGATTGCAATGAAGAGATCTAAAGACTTGAGAATCTAAGGTTAGAGTTCTAGGGGGAGTCAAATTTAGGGAAATAAATGATCAGACATTTAAGGAAATAGCAAGTCAATTTCAAAAATACTATAATCATAAAAAAGTGAGAGATTGTTGAGTTATAGATGAGAATCATCAAAATTGATTTATAACTCAACAATCTATATTTTCTCTTCTAGAGTTAATCTATAACTCTTGTGATTTAATTATCAACTCTAAAAGAGAAAATATAATTTTGATGATTTTTGACATTAGCTTGATTAATTTGAAATTGATGATATTTGATGTGATTTGAATATACGATTGGTGTGGTAAATATATTAATGTTTAATTTCTTAGATAATGATTTGATGTTTAGATTATATTACCTAAATTATATCATAAATATGACTTTTAGACAAATTTGATATAAGGACAAAAAGTCTATGCGAGGTAAAGGCAAAATCATCTCACATATAGGTATTAATGTTTAAATTTTCAATATCAAATGACCTCAACAATATAGGCATGTGAGTAATCAATAAAAAGGCCTTTGAACAAGAAGTTATGATTGATAAATTTCAAAGAGAATTATTAAAAAATTATTTTGATATTGATTTTACAATATTATTAATCTCATATATTTATGCAATAGTAGAATGGTATGACAACATGACCTTTTATAATAAAGTGATTTTTCTCTTAGAAAATACACGATAGATATAAGCATGCAACACTCAATGAAAAGTTGATTCAAAGAGAAATTTAGAGCTAAAAATTATTCTTAAATATTTGAAGTATCAAGAGAGATAATTTTTTCATTCTTTATGATTATTATTTTTTGTGTTTTTAGGATCTGCATGCGGCTTATTAAGGCATCTTTTAGCTTGACCATTTGACCTGATAAAGGAAAAGAAGAGGGTGGTCAACCTTATTGATAAGTATTCATTATCATGAGTTAATAATTAGTAAATAATATAGTTTTAGTCTTAACTCATGATAAATAGACTTATATTTATGTTAAATTATGAAAACTAGTTTTTAATTGATTAACGTGAATTTTTTACTAATATATATTTTTTTACAAATTTATATAATTTTTATAGTCTTATTTTTAAGATAAATGAAGAAAATAAATTAAAATAAAAATATAGCAAAAGGGGGGGACCCACTAAATAGTAGGGCCCACAAGCAAGTTGAAAGTGTAGTCAGGGGGAGCCGTGAGCAAGGGCTTGAGCGGATAAGACTGATGGGGCCACTGGTGGTCAACCGACTGTGGGGCAAAGAATGGTAGTACATGCGGGAGAAAATGACTTATTACTTACAAATATGATATTACTATATATTCATTCAAAACTTCGACGCACAAGTGATGTGGGACTAAACACATGTCACACTTTCCCCCAAAATGCTTCAAAAATTTTAATACTTAAACTACCCTTTAGTTATAACAGAGATATACTATAATGACGTCACTTGATAAGGACATTAGAGTACTTATTTTAATCTTTCTCATGTAGGCGGGCAACTGACACAGGTTCAAATCTTCTCAAAGTCAAAACTCATATTTTTATCTAATTATCGTGACTTTCCTATAGATCGCCTATGAAGGATTAAGCCACCAGAATTGTTGGATCATCAGGAAAAATCTCGTCAACGTGATTCACAGAGTATTGTTATTAAAATTATTGAAAGATTCGCGATAAAAAGATCGCGAATCCATCAAGTAAATCATTTTTGATTGATCGACGAATAAGTTATCATTAGGAAGAGGAGGATCCGCTAGGAGACGAGTCGTCACCTCTTGAGAGCATACCGGATGCAATGAAGAGCCTCCTCTTATTGCGAGAACCTAAGGATGAAGCTCTATGACATGTGCCTCACCTCCATCTAGTTCCTCTCCGTCAAGTGACAACGGCTGGAGAGTCACAAAGTTGTCATTTTTCTACTCTGTTGGGTGCTAGCCGCTAGAGATGATTCGACGACCCATATCATTAATCTCTAGACTTCACAAGAAAATCTAAATATTACCCACGTCATCATTGTCCAAGAAGAGCCTTTGAAGTTATGGACACTACACGACGATTCTCTCAAATGCTCAAAATTCCAGTGTATTGTCGACACATTACTGTTGCGACGTCGAAACTCTATTTTTCTATTTTCAACTTAATTTCTATTTCATTTAGTGATAATTTGTGTGATTTAAATTTATCAAGCTATACTTCATTTAATTATGATGCTTTTAACTTTTACAAATCTTAATTTGACCAATTAAATCATTTGTAATTACTTACGTAAGAATCACTAGGTGAAACTCTATTTTCGCCCCATTCGCGTTCGTCGGACACTAACGTCATCTTGACGTCCGCACCCTTATCCTTTTTTTGTGAATTTTAAATATATTTCATTTTTATTTCTTAGTATAAAATTCATAAAAATCGTATTCCTTGAGGAAAATTTTGAAAAATTACCCAATATTATATTACATCCCTATCATCAACTTGAAAAATTACCATTATTTTTGAAAGTTTTATTGAATTATAATTGATAGATTTATTCAAAAATAATTTTAAATATTCAAAAATCAGTATTTTTTAGATTTATAAATTTTAAATTTATGTGATTTATTATACAATGACTAAGTCACGTTACCTACCTATAAATAAGATGTTCTATCTAGATTAGAGGGACAAAAAAAATACAAGATTTTAGGTGATGATTGTTGCTCTAAATATAACTTTTCTTCTTATTCACCTACCTTCAACTTCGAAGTTCAAGGCAATACATCGATTCAATGAAGCATTGGATGGCTCTCTGATGACTCAAAAGTTTTTTCCTCCAACCCAACATCCTCAAACATTCTTTGAAACCTTCAACAACTCGTGTTGAATAGAATAGAAGAATTCAAGGCTGCAATAAAATCATCGTCATAATATTTTATGATTGTAAAATGTTGAGGCTCTCTTCACAACTATTGCCACATGGATAGTGATCTAGCCAAAGAGGTTCTGCTCAAGGTAAAGACCTAGAGT